CTTTCATATGAGGAAGATATCCAGCTAGTTTATGATACATGCGTGGTTCTACTCAGTGCTTCCAAAGACCAGCACCTGATGTCTTCCTCCACCGTAACATAGGATAATCTTATGAAAATGATAACAATGATATTCAAGCATCATGCCTCCAGATTTATGCTAATTTTGATAAAAATTTTGAAAATGCATTAAAAAATGAAATATAGTGAAGTGAACAATGAAAGTAATCTGCACGTTGTAAATGGCACTTACAGGGCACGTAAATTACAAAAACGAAGTCAAAATATGCAAAAATGGCCCTTTTCTGTGTGAGTCAAGCAGTAGAAATATGGTAATAATTTAAAAACAGTCATTTATGGCACACAAAATGTAAAATATAACTTTGATCTTTTAACTTTTCAAAAAATCATTTTCAATCACATTTAACATTTTTCTCAAATATGATTTTTGCAAATATTTTGGCTCATCTGCAGGCATGCAGCTTTAAACACTTCTCATATTTTTGGGGGTTCTCATATTCATAAATTTAATGATGTGGATGTCCATGTATTGTGTAGGTGGGAGGAGCAACGGCTCATATAGGAGATCCTAGTGGCAAAACAAAAGACAGAGAGGAAATTTCAGCAGAAACTGTGGAACAAAACATCATAGGTCTGACGGAAAATCTGGACAGAATATTTACAAATCATGCTTTACATCTGTGGAAAGATGATAGAGACCTTAAAGATGTGAAGTAAGTTATGATGATTTTAACAAGACACACATTTGTATTAAGTTGCTTTGACCACACATATATTGATGTTTTGAATTTATTGGTAATTATCAAAGGTTGTTATTCTCAATTACATTAAAGAACAATTATGCTTCAGAAGTGCTATTATTTTTATTTCTAAAAACTGTTTATTTTTGGTAACGAGTACAGTTTTCAAAAAGATTCTCATTTGCTATATAAATGAACTATTTTTTGCATCTTTAGATTTTTTGGCAATTTGTATAATCATAGTGAATAAGTATTTTGTATGGAAGACAAAATACTACTTTGTTTACATTTTGCTACCTTTAAGACACATAACTACATGTTCAGTGCTACTTTTTTCTGTTGATAAACCTCTCATTGCAGTTACACCTCCCACTTGCACTTAATGCATTATTTAATTATTATTAAATACATGTTTGGCATTTCTATAGAATTAAAAAAATACGGATTTCTGAGGCATAATGTGCCTTTAATATTGTTGTGATGGAGAAAAATCGGTCATATAGCATTTAGTTTTAAGATGAAATAAATATAAAATTCTACAACTAATGCTTGCATCAAATGTTAAAATACAACCTGACAGAAACAAATCTTATAGCTTTCAACGCAATTGAACTACAAATGTAAAATAAATTTGTATAAATTAAATGAAGAGTTCCAGGTCTGGGTTCGCCCAGTTTCAGTATGTGAGAAAAGATATGATTTTCATTTGCTACCCAAACAAATAGCATGAGATTTATCTGTCCCTAATTGACCTACCAAAATCTTGTAGTACAAATAGTCTATAAATCTTGTATAACTTTTACTGTATTTCAGAATTTTAAATAATAGAAGTTGGTATGATGACATGAATGTGATAGAATTTCTCACAAAGATTGGACGATACTTTAGAATGAACAGTATGCTTAATAAACATAGGTAAATACACCATTCTGTGATGTGTCTTCACTCAAAGCTATTTAGATTTTTAATCATAAATTTATACATTATAATGCTCCAACTAAGGCTGTTAGAGGTTGGTGGCATATACATTTGTCCTCATTCGTCCATCAAGCTGGCTATCTATCTGTAAACTGACGAAATAGTGGAATGTGGTGACATCCATGTTCTAAGGACATATTTCTAATTATTTGCTTATCAATCATTTACAATGAGTTTCAGATAGCCCTAATATGAATTTATATTAAACTATTTGGCTTTTGTCTGAGATTAGTATTCAGTATTTTCTTACCAACTTTCAATTTTACATTACGCTCGAGTATTCAAATAATAGAAATAACTATTGTACTCACCCAGTTGTCAGTGTCACACTTTGGTTAACTTTTTGCATACAAGTTGGTATCTTCCAAAACTACTGAAAGGAATGGGTTCAAACCTCACACACTTATTTGAGAGCATAAAAGGAAGTCACTGTTCAAAGTCCGTAAATGAAAAGAATTATGGCCCTTTAGGACTTAGAAAATTCTTCATTATCCAGGCTCTTGTTTTACTATCAAGTAATGAAAATAGTTAAGCATGCTGTCCTTTTATTTTACCACTTTATTATGACAACCACAGAATCTATTCATGTGATTAATTGTTAGATGGTCAGTCTGAGAATATTTGGAAATTTTTACTAAAAATGATGAATGGTTTAGTCTAGAATAACAGATGGACAAGTCCATTCAAGGTACATGTATTTAGGATGGTCAGGCTCTGTAAATGTTGGTATATATTTCTGTGTAAATGTTGGTATATATTTCAGTGTAAATGTTGGTATATATATTTCAGTGTTAATGTTGGTATATGTTTCAGTGTAAATGTTGTTATATATATTTCAGTGTAAATGTTGGTATATATCAGTGTAAATGTTGTAATATATGTCAGTGTAAATGTTGGTATATATATTTCAGTGTAAATGTTGGTATATATTTCAGTGTAAATGTTGGTATATATTTCAGTGTAAATGTTGGTATATATATTTCAGTGTAAATGTTGGTATATATTTCTGTGTAAATGTTGGTATATATGTCAGTGTAAATGTTGGTATATATATTTCAGTGTAAATGTTGGTATATATATTTCAGTGTAAATGTTGGTATATATTTCTGTGTAAATGTTGGTATATATTTCAGTGTAAATGTTGGTATATATATTTCAGTGTAAATGTTGGTATATATATTTCTGTGTAAATGTTGGTATATATTTCAGTGTAAATGTTGGTATATATTTCAGTGTAAAGTCTCGCCTGGCATCACAAGCTGGCATGTCATTTACAGAATTTACATATCAAACTTTCCAGTCGTATGATTGGTTATATTTACTGAAGAATCATGACTGCTATATCCAGGTATGTCAACTTGATTTGTGAAATAGTTTATATTTATTTGATAATGAAAGCATTTGATCTACTGATTTCTCATTTAATAACATGTATTTTACTAAAAAAGCTTTTCAAGCTTCCTACTTCCGAAAAATTGAACTGCTTACAATATAAACCAGTCATTGACCCACAAAAAGTAGACTGTGTCACTGTGTTTTGAGATAAGAAGCAGTAAAGTGGAAGTTAGAGATGGAAAACCAAATATGTACTTTCCTGTTCTTGAAATAGCAAATGCTAAATTTAGACTGAAGATTCCAAAAGTCATACTTTTCATAACTGATTTTCTTGAGCCAATTTAATAATTTGAAGTCAATTTGCTGATTGGCTCCTGCTAGCGCAAGCCCTGATAAAGCCATGTCTGGTTGTGTGGATTTACAGACCGGCCTGGTTGTATATGAACTAGTGGCAAAGGTTAATCACTTTAGGTTCCAGGAGCTAGTTAAAGTTGATAGTATTGAATTAGTTTTGTGTACTGTATGATGTTATATTTATTTACAATGTTCAACTTGTGTTTAGATAGGTGGACATGACCAGTATGGGAACATTACAGCAGGAATGGATCTCATTGACAAAGCTTTAAAGGAAAGAACATTTGGTAATTCTTCCTGCTTTAAATTCACTGATCTTTAATGATGTGTAAGTATTTGAATTTGTTTGTTTTCCCAAAAATGAATATTAAATAGTATTAAAGTGTAAAATTAATTGTTTTTTGTTATTAATATTCTTTTGTTGATCTAACTCATAAAAGAATATTTATACATAGCTTTAAAATTATGCACTTTAAAAAAAATTTAATTCCATTTAAATTTACTAAGAAATAATTTCAATATTTTACAGGTTTAACTTTACCATTAATAACAACATCCCAGGGACATAAAGTAGGAAAATCTGAAGGCAATGCTCTATGGCTGGACCCAAATAAAACAACACCTTATGAACTATATCAGGTAATTTGACTATATACAGGGAGAGAGAAAATATTTTGGTAATACTGAATTCTCGTAAAAAAATGTCTGAAATACATGCAGATAATATGTCTGAAATACATGCAGGAATATTATCTTGATTCATTCAATCTTTATACTGTTGGTGACAATAGAATCTATCAATCCCACTGTTATATCAGTGCTGTCTTATCATGGTTTACCATTTACACAAGTGCTAGAAAAAATATGTCTTTCACCCCCCCTCCCCCCCCTAAGACAAGTGGCGTGCTTTTAGTGATGTCATTTCCGCATGCCTTTTATGAATGAATTGCGTTCTTAGGATAATGTCATTTTACAGTTATCAATGAAGTTCAAACGCTATTATCAGAAAAAAATGCGTAATGGAAATTTCAGTTTTCATCATTTCTGTTCTGAAAACAATTAACATGTAATATGCTAGAAAAAGAATCAAACACCGGCTGTCAGCACAGCCAGAAATATCTAAGTGTAAGATTCTTATACTCTATTATTCAATAATCATGAATGATTTTGTCCAGATTGAAAGATGGACAAGTTCATTTAAGAAATCAGCAATCGTGGAAATAATTGTTTTAAGAATCTGAAAATGAGAGAGAAGTAATGGCCTAGTGGTCAAGGCATATGCACCTTAACCTAGAGAGCTCCGATTCAATATCAACTGAGATCACAACAGTGTTGCTAGTTCTTCATAGTTAGAGGATCCAAGAAAAGTTACTTCACAATTGAGCTTTTTTAGAATAGATACTATGAAAACTGGAAGAACAAACTTCTCAAGCTTGATTGTATATGTCATCTACTTTCACAAGTTAGAATGCTCTGATAAAAATGTAAAAATCATTCTATATTTATCACTTTTAAGATCTTGTGTCAAAAGTTGACTGCTCTAAGTTAAAGATATTTTGATGTGTTCTTATTATGTAGCTTGAAATAACAGTGGCAAGTAAATTAATATTTAGAAGCAAAGTTAAAGAATGTATTCCTACTTTAATATGTTTTCTTTTATTTTTCAGTATTTTTTAAATATACAGGACACAGATGTTGGTCAATATTTAAAGCTGTTTACATTTTTACCAGATTCTGATATAGACAGTATATTAAGGAATCATCAGGTATGTTATTTAGTTCTCTATTCTCTTGTGTTCATAAAAGACTTACTCCGGAATTAAGAACATTTTGGGTTTTTACCACCTAATACGGGGGTACAACAAACTTTTACAGTTACAGCTTCGAAAATAAGCGGACACAGGTAAACTAATCTATTGTGACTTGGTAGTGCACCTGTGAAAGCTTAGTAACAGTAAAAGCTTGTTTGTACCAGGGATAAGCTTGGAAAAATTTAATAGAATGTTCATAAACTTTGCATTGTCTTGTAATATGATAATAGAATCATTTTTAGATGAAAACAAGCTTGTTGACCAACATTTTAGCTTTAACGCTTACTCATATATCGCGAACGCACTTTGACCGCCCCTTTTAGGCTGAAATAGTAAGAAATGTCCTATTTGGCCAATACACATGATTTTCGTTTCAGAAATGTGCAGAAAAAGTAGCATTTTTCGGCAGCGCCCCATCCAAGATACATCGGGTTGCAGAAGGGGGTATGCCTTCTTTTTGGTTTGAAGGGGCGAAGTATCCAAGACAAATTGGACTTGTGAAAGGCTAAAAATGACCAGTAGATATAAGTAGCTTTAACCAAAGCTGAAAAGCCTTGTTATTCATCCTTAAGTTGCAGCACTTTGAAAATTTAATGGAACAATCGAGGCAATGTGATTTTTGGTAAATGTTGAGATTCCATCGTTGCAGTATCATGAAATTTAACAGTTAATGGTAGTACATTTGTGCCAAGTTGATTGTTTAAGCATTTATCTAGTTTCATAGCAGTTTGAACTTGTACAGTGAGATTTTTCAGTGAACGGCATTTTTCAATATTCATGGCAAGGTTAATTTCTGTTTCATACCATGCAAAGTTTAATAAATTCTTATATACAGTTTTTGTTCACTGATATGTTTAAGTAAACTGTCCATAGCATCTTTATGAAAAACCAAAAATATATTTCTTGTTATCTGAACTGTTGAAACTATTTTGTATTCCGAATAATGATAAAGTCTCCCTTGAAATAGATTGTACTTAACTTTGCATTGTCTTGTAATATAATAATAGAATCATTTTAAGTGAAAACAAGCTTGTTGACCACCATTTTATAGCTTAAAATGTTTCTGTTATAATACCATGCAAAGTTTAACCTTTTCCCTTATATAAGCGTGTTTCGACGGATTTTTGCCCCCCCCCCCTTTCTGAGGCCTCAAACAGTGAAAAAATGCCCTATTTAGGCCCCAGAAAATGCTGTTAAAAAAAGTGACCACTTTTTCGGCGCTGTCCCCCATCCAAATATTACATCAGGGGGTTGCCAGAAGGGGGATGTGCCCCCTGTTTGGAGGGTTTGAAGGGGGGCGGAGTCCCCCTCATCGCCAAGAAAATTTTGGACATGTGACAGGCTAAAAATGGCCTCAAGTCGATCTCAGCATAACTAGTATCCGACACTAAAAAGCCATTCACTCTATCTCAATTCATTGAGAAGTAGCAGCACTTTGAATTCAGTTTTGAAGGAAAAAAACAATGCAAAATAGTGATTTTTGGCAATTTTGAGACGTCCCCCCCCCCCCCCCCCCCCGTTGCCATGGTAACAGGAAATTTACCATTGAGCATGCTGTTATAGAGGCAATGGTGTAGTCAACATTTGTGCCAAGTTTCATTAGTATTGAAGCATTTTTCATAGCAGTTTGAACTTGTTACAGGAGGCTTTTCAATGAAAACGGCCATTTTTCGCAATATGCTCATGGGGTAAAAGGTTAAGTAATTTCTAAAATACAGTTTTTATTCTACTGCTATGTTTATATAAAGCTGTTGCATACATCTTTATTAAATTACGAGAAAAATGATTTATTTCTTAGATTAATCTAGACCTGTGTAAATATTTTGTCATTTCCTTTTGATATATATTGTAGTGTGAACCAGAGAAAAGAAAGGCTCAGAAGTTGCTAGCAGAAAAAGTTTTAATTCTAGTGCATGGAGGTATGTTTTTAAAAATAAATTCTGAATGTATTTGTTAACATTTATAGCAGTTTGTTTTAATTCCTAACCTTTTTTTTTTGAAGCCCCATCGGGTAATTTCCGTTTATTTACCCTGTAATAGGTATGAGGGGGTCGGGATCATCCTCCATCATACGTTTTAATTCCTTACCTGCTGACATTAAAAGTGATTTGCCATTTCCACCAGTTAAAGCATTGCAAGGCTGTACAGTCTGACTAGGCTTTATATTGTTGGTAACTCAGTTTTTGGATTTTGATATTGAAATCACCTAATTGAATGGACTGCTTTAAGTTCAAAGCAAGGTGAATCCATTTCGCAGATTCAGGTTTAACATGTTTTGTTTTCATTTATACTTTAAGGGCTATTGTGACAGACCGATTATGGTTGTTTACTTCAAATCAATTGCCACTCACTGCCATTGGTTCCAATCCTGACAAAATCCATGAGAAAGCTATCCAGCTAGCATTTTGATTGTCAGTGGTTATAACCAGGTGCCAGCTTGTCAGTGGTTTTACTTAGATTCCAAGTTTTCAGTTGTTCTAACCAGGTGCCAGCTTCTCAGTGGTTTTACCCAGGTGCCAGCTTCTTAGTGCTTCTAACCAGGTGCCAGCTTGTCAGTGGTTTTACCCAGGTGCCAGCTTCTTAGTGCTTCTAACCAGGTGCCAGCTTGTCAGTGGTTTTACCCAGGTGCCAGCTTCTTAGTGCTTCTAACCAGGTGCCAGCTTGTCAGTGGTTTTACCCAGGTGCCAGATTCTCAGTGGTTTTACTCAGTTGCCCGGTTTAAAGTGGTTTTACCCAGGTGCCAGCTTGTCAGTGGTTTACTACAATGTCTGTCTGTGCCTGAAAATGTGCAACAAGAGGGAACCTGATGCCTTTCTTCACCAACCTAGCTGGAAAGCTGCAATGTTTGTGTGACTTAAATTTAAAAAAAAACATCTGAAAAATGTTATGTAAACTACTGAAAAAATTATAAATTTATTGATTTTACTTTCAAAACTTTTTCGTTTACCCTTGCATGAATTGCCTGAATATCAAACTTAAATGCTTAAGTTTACTGCCAATTATATTGAAAAATATCAAGAATTGTTTAAGCAATTTTATTTTTAAAATGTGGTTTAATTGATTCCTGGACTAGCCTCAGATTTAATTCAGATGATGTTTTCATTGTATATGACTTGTTTTATCACATAGAATAGAAATAATTGTAGATAAATCCCACATTGTTCAGATTGGCCAGTAGCATTTATATTGTTAGGTAAAGAGAAAATTTGATATGTATATGGAAGGTAGGTTTACATTAAAAGAGTTTAAATTATAACTGGCTTAATACCACTCAAGCTTCAAAGTCAGTAGAACTGTATTGTTTTCAGTTTGTGTCTATAACAATGTTCAAATATTTCGTAACAAAATGTTAAAATGTTCAATTGGTATCTCGAGTGGGAGATGTTGAAATTTTTGCCTCTTCCTGTAAGAAAAATTTTCCAAATGAAGTTTCAACTTCTGTATTATGGTGTGATTTTTATCATGCTATAAACAGTTGTTCTGCAGATAACAGATTGCCTAAATGTAGCTTTATACTGCATAACCCGTCATGATGGAAGTTAAATAGTAATATCACCTGCTGTGATTTATTATTTTGGCATGTTTGTTTACAGATTAAATTTCATGCAACATTCTGTATTTAGAGATTAAACATTAGAAAAACTATTTTTAGGTAACCAGGATTTTAACAATAAGAAGGATCATTTTGCTTGAGTAGAAGGGAAAGAATTACACTCTTCCCATCTTTATCTCAAATACCTTACCTCCATTTAAGTGGTTTGTTGAAAAAAAACTTAATAAAAATTATAAAAATTGAGCCGCGTGATGACAAAACAAAGTAATGCGTTTGTGACCAGTATGGATCCAGACCAGCCCGCGCATCCGCGCAGTCTGATCAGGATCCATGCTGTTCGCTTACAAACCCTATTACAAGTATGGAGACTGATAGCGAACAGCATGGATCCATGCTGGTCGCAAACCCACTATAGTGGTTTTGTCATGACGCGGCTCAAATGAAGGATGATATCAGTGATAAAATTTTCAATGAAAACCATTGACAAAATTTGTATCAGTATTTTATACTTTATAACCACAGGGAATGACTAGGATAGGGGTCAGGATTCTTATAGGATATTTGAAAGAATTTCAAAATTAATCTTCATAAAAAAACAAACACACTCACAGGTTGTTTTTGACATTTGGATAAGTGTTTGTTTCATTTTGACATCGCTTACAGTAATTTTATTATGACATGCACTGATAAAAGCATCTAGCTGAAACATTTACATTACATAATTTCTAAAGTTTCATGTTTGTGTGACTTGCTGCTTTAAAACAAACTCCCATTATTTTATACATTGTACATTTAAATTAACAATGTATTTTTCATTTACAATGTAATTGAATATTATGTAATAGTTTTACAGTATGACAGGATAAGGTTAATTCTTAAATAACCTTACTCACTTACTACTAAATGTATGTTATACTAGTATTTCTTTTCTATATAATATACGCTGCTTTACATGGAATGGCACTTACGTGTCACATTGAAAGTTCTATGATAACTGCCGTATGAACACATCTGCAGTTGTTTCCAATTTCAAAATTTCACCCTTAATTCTGCTTAAGCCGGTGCTAGGGGGCGTGAACAGTAGTTTGCACTAGACAGTACCGTCAATGAACAGGCTCAATCAAACCGAGCCTGCAACATTATCAATTTTGCCATTTTGGAATTTCTCTAGGGATTTTTTTTTTCTCTATTTCAGAGGAAGGATTACTAGAGGCACAGAGATGGACAGAGGCATTTTTCAGTGACAGTCCAGAAGCGTTATTACATCTGTCAGATAATGACCTGTCCAGATTGTTCAATAATGCTCCAACCATTGATCTACTATTACAAGATGACATCACTGTTCTAGATCTTGTCATGAAGAGTAAATGTTTAGATAGAGAAGGTACATATATATCATATGATATATCAAAACCAACATAAAGGGTTTGCGACCAGCATGGATCCAGCCAGCCTGTGCATCCATGCAGTCTGATCAGGATCCATGCTGTTCACTTACAAACCCTATAGCAAGTAGAGAAACTGATAGCGAACAGCATGGATCCTGATCAGACTGCGCGGATGCGCAGGCTGGTCTGGATCCATGCTGGTCGCAAACCCATTATGTTGGTTTTGTCGTGACGCGGCTCACATTCATTTAAAGATAAATACAATAATCTTCATCACAGCAAATTGAGTGTTTTATAAACTATCATTGAGTGTAGTGCATATTATCTTCCTGGTATAAAATTTAATGAAGTATTAGTTACAACTTTTGTGCTAATGTGGTGTTTTATCTTTTCAAGTTTGGGGATTTTTGTCATACCTGTTTATTTGATAGAAAGGTTTTTGTCCTGCCTGTAAATTTGATAGGAGGGTTTTTGTCCTACCTGCAATTTAGATGGGAGAGATTTTATCCTACCTGCTAATTTGATTGAAGGGTTTTTGTCCTTCCTGTAAACTTTGTGGTAGGACTTTTTTCGTACCTGCAAATTTGATGAGAGTGCTTTTATCTACTATAAAATAATTTTGAGTAAGGATTTGTGTGCAATTCCTACATTTCTCTAGGGCTTTTGACCAAACTTTGACAGAAGCTTTGTCATCAAGTGCCTTATGTATTTTTTCTGCCACTAATTAGGAAATGAACCCTGTTATAAACAAAAATTGTAACAGAAATCAGGTTAATAATTTGGTTATAATAGTGTCAACTGAATTATTATTACCTTGCCAGGTTTACACAGTATAGAGAATGGCTCTACAGTACAAAACTAATTTCATTCCAACATTCTTATTTTGTGCCCATATAATGTAAGGAATAATAATAGTTTCCTCAAATTCAATGTCCACTTATTATTCATACATGTGATATATTTCTTTAACTTTCAGTTGATGCTATTAGGATGATAAAAGCAGGTGGAATTTATCTTAACCAAGTTAGAGTTACAGATCCTGATTGTCTACTTACATTTGGACAGCACATTTTACCAAATAAAATAACTTTATTACGTAAAGGTATGTATCAGATGTATGGTAAAGATTTGATAGATTTCATTATGTTTCCACACATGGACACACATACTTGTAATATTAAGTGGTAAATCAATGTAGTACTGTGGTGGAGAGGTTAACATGTTGAATGAGTAGTCTAACTAAGGATATATTTGCCATGTGGGTTCAAACTGTGCCAGGGGCAAGCCGTTGTTTCCTTGAGCAAGAAACTTTATATTAAACATTTATTTCTGTAGTACTGCTAGATTCCTGTAATTGGGTTGGAGAGTGTGTTTAATACCTGATAGCTTCTTACGCAATCAAACTAAAATAAATTATTTGTGTATTCTATTTTTATGGAACTTCTTAATAATCAGAAAACACTGGACTCAGTAAAACTATGATATTTTTATAAATTTAATTATTACACATGGACCTAACAACATTCTGGCACTGAGCCAAATCTCATTCTATTTTTAGATCTTTTGTTACTATTTTTGGGTAGTCTTGTGACTTACCATCCTATACATTTTTAATACTTCAGGCCCAAATTTCTGTCAAAATTTATCCTGATGAAGACCTCACGGGAGGTCGAAACCAGTAGATAATTAAATAACATACACATCCCTGGTGTTGACTTGTAATTTTCTTTTTACTTATCCTATCTTAAAATAAATTCTGTGTAAATTCAGTCAATGACTGGCTGTTTGAGATAAATGTAGTAAAGAAAAAAATCTTATTTCTTTAATTCTAAGAGTGAAGAAATGGTAATTGAGATCTAAGCATGAACTAGCTTTGATCTTAAGGAGGTACTGATTCATGAAAAAAAAACTGAATGCGAATCAAATGTTCACTTTTATTGTAGATTTGTTTTATTCTTTTGCTAAACAATAAAATAAGTTATTTAGATATTGTGGTACATGTATGTAAACAGATGTACGAGTATTAAGAATAATAGTTCATTTGTAGGCTATATATTTCAGAACAAAATATTTATATTGGTATTTAATTTTATATTTCAGGGAAGAAAACATACTACATTATAAGATGGAAGACCTTGGATTGAGAGATTAATACTAAATTAATAATGATAATTGCAATTTCTTTCATGTATGAGCAAAAATAAAAATATGCATAAAATGTATATAGAATTTAATTTTGTTATATGATATATACATTATATATGAGCATGGCTATCCAAATAATATATAGGCTATCTTCTCTTGCTTGAAGTCTGTTGTTGCAACTACCATGTCGTACATCATGCATCATCAGACATTGAAATACTCACTAGAAATTTCACACATATCTTTAAGACACTGTCACTGATTCTTGCACAGATTTTTACTGTATTTATATTCCTTGTGACATTAGAAAATTCCTGGTTAAAGATTTTCATGCAAGACCAATCTTTCACAATAACTGTAGGTATTTATTTATGTATCCCAAGCCTAATAGCACTTTCCTGGATTTTGATTGAATTTTTTTGTGAGAATTTCTACATTACCCATTCCTTTGTTTTACTATGAAGCCATAAATGAGAAAACACTTGTATACTAGTCTTGGCTAAAGGTCATTATGTATAACATAATCTGTAGTTTATTTGTACTCAGATTATTTATGAGTGAAGACAATGATCAGGATCCAGGATTTTTACCAGAGGGGGTCGCATAGTTTTTAGGAGGGGGTAATACATATTCCAAAGTTTGGTTACATTTACAAGTTTTCCAGAGGGTATTATGAGTCAAAATCTTTGCTATTTTCACTAGTTTTTATATGCCCTAAAGAATTTTGGGCATATTATGTTATACCCCCTGGCGTCCGTCCGAGCAAACATTTTGGGTTTACGGGCTATATAACAGTAAAGAAAACAAAAGAGACGATAGGTTCATTCAGTGATCAAAGGGTTTATGGGCTAGTAGCCCTTAAGAAAACAAAGAAAATAACAAAGAAAATAGCCCCTAAACCCAAAATGTTGGAACGTCCGTCCGCCTTAATCTGTTAACAATTTAGTTTCCGGAGCATAACTTAAGTTTTTGGCCCACAATATTCAAACTTCATAGGATGATTGTCCATATTGGGTAGAGGACCCCTATTGATTTTGGGGTCACAAGGTCAAAGGTAAAGGTCACTATCACCTTAAAACTGAAAACAGTTTCCAGAGCATAACTTAAGTTCCGTTTGGCCCACAGTATTCAAACTTCATAGGATGATTGTCCATATTGGGTAGAAGACCCCTATTGATTTTGAAGTCACAAGGTCAAAGGTCAAGGTCACTATCACCTTAAAACTGAAAACAGTTTCCCGAGAACAACTTAAGTTCCGTTTGGCCACAGTATGCAAACTTAATAGGATGATTGTCCATATTGGGTAGAAGACCCCTATTGATTTTGGGGTCACAAGGTCAAGGTCATTATTACTTTAAAACTGAAAACAGTTTCCAGAGCATAACTCAAGTTCCATGTGGCCCACAATATTCAAACTTCATAGGATGATTGCCATATTGGGTAGAAGACCTCTATTGATTTTGGGGTCAAAGGTCAAGGTCACTATTCCTTTAAAACTGAAAACAGTTTCCGGAACATAACTTAAGTTCCATTTGGCCCACAGTGTTCAAACTTCATAGGATGATTGTCCACATTGGGTAGAATAATCCTATTGAATTTGGGGTCAAAAGGTCAAAGTTCAAGGTCACTATTACCTCAGAACTGAAAACAGTTTCCAGAGCATAACTTAAGTTCCATTTGGCCCACAATATTCAAACTTTATAGGAGGATTACTATTTGAAGGAGGTAATACTTTATTTAATTTATGTAATGTCTTACAAATGCTTCATCCTTACTAAAAAAAAAAAACACTTTCGGGCAAATAATGCTCCGCCTAGCGGTGCTCTTGTTGTGTGATTTCTGTTTTAATATTGTTATGATAAATCACTGTCAGAATGCTAGGAAAAGAAGTTTGGAAGATAGTTGTTAAGGAAAAATTAGGCAAAAATGGACTTCAAAGAAAACAGTGACGGTGCAAATTACATATAATCTTACAATTATTTGGTCAGTTTTTTGTATTCATACAATCTTAGTTGACATTGACATTTGTTTGATAAAACAGTTTATGTGAAATGAATACACAATAATAGCCATTATACATAATAACCTTTTGGAAATACCTTTAAGTAGGTCAAACTGAACTTGGGCCTGACCTTGACCTTTACGGTTTAACTATGGAATTTTGCTAAAATTAACCATGACTGATATCAATGGATGTACATGTATAGTTTTATTCTTAGACATAATAACTCTTTGAAACTTACGTTCTAGTAGGTCATACTGAACTTTATGCTGAGCTTTATATTTAAGCTTCATTTATGGATGGCTTTCATTCATACAGTTTTTATGAAATTGTCATGTTGAGATTCAGCTTAAACTGATCTTGTCCCTCAATTCTTTGATTTTGTTAAACAGTTATGTATTAGGATTGATTCGATTCATATTTTTAATATTTTTATAATCTAGGATGGAGCATTTCATGTATGTCCTTTACCTTAAAAAAGTCATTTTTTAAAAAGAAATATTACTTATGAATAGATATAACAAAGCAATACATACAGTGATTTATTAATGTATGACCTTGACCTTTAAATGTCCTTCACCCTCAATGTAATATATGAAAATTTGAATTCTGTGGAATGTTTTGATTTATTTACCGGTTTCATAAATATTTGAACACAGTGAAGTGAATGAAGGGAAAAAGATTTTAAAAGAAAGGTTATACTTTTTCAATGATCTTATTTGATAAAACTTATTTATATTGATGGATTTGGTTTATAATTTGACCAAAACGACATTCATGACAATATCCTCATACTGAGTTATTTTGAATGTGACCTTGACCTTAAAAGACGTTCACCAATTTGGCAAACTTGTGGCTGCTCTTTTAAAAGAATAAAAGTTATGCAACTTGCAGTAATAGTTTACGTTTGTCTAGGCAAGAGAACATAACTTTTGCAATTGGTTTGTGACACAATTAACCTCTTCTTAAAAGAATTATTCCTGTTCCTGGTCGACTTTTGAGCATTTCATGACACCACGGATGATAATTTTGATCATTTCGTGACAACACGGATGATACTGCAACAAGATGACAGGAAGTTATTATATAAAACCACAATATAGGATGAATTGGCAATACCTGTATTGCAACGTCTTATGTTCCTATTAATATAAAAGCTTTCAACAATTTTAACCAGTCACGAAAATATAAATTGATACGAGTCATTCTCAATAGAAATTTGAACAAATATTTGTCCACTTAAATTCATAACATTATGTTATAAAACGACAAGATGTATTCATGCAAGTAAGTCATGCCTCAATGGGGAATATAAATATAATTGTATAATGACCGATATATGAACCTTGATAGTATTTAATTAATTTAGTGCGTTTTTACTGCCGGTAATCGTTTAAATAATTTGACATTGCATGGGTTCTGATAATCGACAATAGGTTTTATATATAAAAAAAGTGAAAACTTAATGCACCGGAGAAAAATTTCTCTCAGTTGAACAGTAACGTCACAGTGACATGCTTGTAAAGAGCAGCCCGGTATCATCACAACAGCACGGACTAGAGTCAACACTTAATTAAGGAATTCATAGTGTGAACTTATGTTGAAACCCATGTAAAACCATCTTGCATGTATGTATTCTATCTTGCATATATGTATGTATGTATTCTATGCCAAATTGGGATCCATCCACCCGTTAACGCATAAAAAGCATCTTTCGCTGTCTAGTACGAACCCCGGACATGTCACCTGTCATGTTTGAAGCACATCGTGATGATAATTTAGCCTACCTCAGTGCAGTTTCCACGGAGTATTAGCCAAATATATGAATTTTGAGTTAAAAGTAGGTCATAGATTGGCGGCCAATGAAAAAGTACAGTTACCTGAGAAAAGGCGGTAGTCCTGAAAATAGGCTGTTATGTCAGCAAAGGACCTGCTTTTCAAGCCGTCACTCTCTGTGCTAGGAGTTCACGAGCCGTAGCACACTTTCTCCGTTTTCCCTGCCTTTTTTAGAGCTGCTCCCTCGGCTTTTATAAGGACACTGGCAGCTAACTTCATACAAGCTAAGGCGTGCCGACTTAAACGTAACCCCGAGCTGTAGAGAACATGCGAACTTGCCGTCTTACACGTAGAAGTGGATGTTAAATAATCTGCCTCCTCAACGACGTGCACGTACCGAGAGGAAGAGAGAAGAAACCATCTTGCTCAATGGTCTTCTGTAGATATACCATCCATAGGATTCATCTGGCTATACATACACACATAACGATGCTGAACCACAAATCACTGCGCAAATTTATCAAAAAGCTTAATTCATATACTCACAATAATAACTCTATTATTTATGTGTCATGATCGTTTGATCAAAAGTCACCATTTCAAACATGAAAATCGCACGTGATTTGCTTTGGCTTATTTCATTACTTATATATAATAATGCAATGAGGTACATGCATATAAAAGCCTAACCAAATGTATAAATCACTGTTCAAACGATTGCGACAATAGTTATAAACATAGTAGCTGGTCCATAACATGATTTTAATGGTTTATTCTGCATCAGAAATGTTGTTCATACATGTATTTTTATTTCTAAAAAACTTTATTTTTCCGGGTTCTGTATCAGTTTTCGGAGGTAGTATGGCTGAATTTTTTATCGTATTTTTCTGTTTTACCCTTTTGTGATTTAAATGGATAACAAAAAACTGCTTTGTTTACGATTTGTTAATTTTTATGTCATATTAATTAACATTCAGCGCTGCGTTATTCATGCACGTGATAAGCATCTAACAGGCTCTAATTTCTTTTATCCTTCAGAAAAGACATCTTATTCATTTCTGGAGAATATATTGTATAAGTTGATACTTAAGTAGGTACAAGAATAAGAACATCAACCGGGCCTTGGCTATAAAAATTTGCGTGGGAGAAAGCCTAATTTACTGATGTAAAGTTAAATGTTGCCGATTAAATAATGGTACATGTATCAAATAATTTGATAAGTGGAAAGATGTCATTGGGCAAAATAGAATTCCAACTACTTAGTAAATATTTAGGTTGCTAGGATTCCAGGTTCAGATACATGTATAACTGAAAATTACACCCATTTTATCTACAGCTGATTTAATTGCATTTGTAGTAGCAGTTACAGCATTTCAAGGCTCGTTTTGTTCAAGAAATGATGTATTTCACTTCTAAAAAGTTTTTGATTTCTAATTTTGGTGCCCTGTTAATATATCTAAGTAGTCACTCGCTTGTCAATTACATGAACTGTCGTTTGTTTCTTTTCTTCTTCTTCTTTTTTTTTGGCAAATAGTACTGTTATAGTGATATAGTATTTTGTATGGATGTAAGATACTATTTGTTTACATTTTACAACTTTTATAACAAATAATTTTCACATTCAGCGCCTTTTTCTTCAGGTGAAAAGCATCCAATATAATCTAAAACCTTTTTTGATCGAACTTTACAGCTCATGGGCATATTGTTACTTTCATTAAATTGGAAGGGTACTTCATTTACATGAAATACGATTATCAGAATGACTTTATTTAATGTAAAAGTTGAACTCTGTAAAACTGCCATACATTTTCTGTTAAGTGCTGTAATTGTCTAGATTTATATATAACATTATTTAATTAACTACTTGTAATAAACAAGCAACCTAATCTAGAGATACTGTTAAAATATCTGAAAATTAAGAAAAGTCCGTTATAAAACTTGCTAAATTTTTTAAGTAAACAAGATCGTTTTATAACCACTATTTTGCTGACGGGCTAAATCTTACGTTCATGTCAGTACACGAGTACTAAATGACCAAAGGTCATTTAACGGGCTAGCGTGCGAAACACGTGAACCCTTACTGATCAATGCGAAACGCACGTAGCTAGCTTATAAACAAAGGCCTGTAGGTGAGCCGAGGCCAGAAACATTTTTGTCACGTCTTATCGTTAACTACATGTGTTTTTAAAATAAACTATTAATTGAAGAAACATGTAGATCAAGGCCAATCAATTAATGATGCGATAAGCGTGTGAATTTTTCTTAATCCTGATTGAAAGAGGAGGAACGGTATCATTTTTAAAAACAAAAAAGAAAAAAAGAAAAATCAGACTAGACCGAAAGTTTATATTTGCACAACCACTTCACTTCAAACAGTGTAATAATATGCGGTATTTCACCAAATATTTGACCCGGATAAGTTCGCGTTATAACTTGAAATGTAGAGGCAGTGAATCATGAAAAACCACGGGTCGATATAATGCAGTGTCGTACGACAAAAAGTAGAACTTTAACTTCACCTGTATAATTTGATTGGATTTTTACCTATACTATATACACATTTGTGTTGAATATTAATTTAGAAAGTGGATATAAATATAGTTATATTGCTGCAGTCATATAAATATATATATTTGTTGGATGCAGTCTTAAAAAGGTAGGTTTAAAGTTTATTTATTGAATAAGTTGTTTAGTTTCGTTTCCAAGTTACCGGCACCAACACGTGGTTTAAGTATTGCGAAACATTAGAGATTCAAGTTACTCTGTGCCGGTAAAATGTCAGTTAAATATACAAATATACTTAAAATACTTTACAACGCCCAGAGGTTGTTAATATGTTAAGGTAGATACATAAAATATATGTTAGCGGTTCCCATTACTTGTACTGATCAGCTGATGTGTGAGGTTTGAGCACAGTTTGATATTTTGACAGACCCAATTCACGTAAGGTTAATAAAACTATACATTTGTAGTTTTAAAACCATTATTTTGCATGCTGGAGTCATTACCATAATTGTTTATTTGCTGTAGAGATGTCAGTATGTTGATTAATGATTACATAAGATGTTTTTTTTTATTGTTTGGGAACTTGAGAAGTTTTAGGTTTCGGGGATGATGTATTATATAATTAGAAAAAACATTTATCATGTACGACTTCCCGTGTTTTTAACTGTTAAAGTGGTGTTGTTTTATTTACTAAAAATACTTGCTGTCCAGGATTCCTATTTCGACCATGTATAACTTCTGATCAAGGGTTATTATTTTATATTAATTTGACCATTATCGGCATGGCAAATGAGTCGTACGCCTGTGGTAGCGAATCTATATCTGCTGCCGTATTTCTAGTGCCAGATTTTGAACTTTATCATATTGTCCGATATTGGTAACATAAAAAACGCGCACTATCTCTGTCACAATATTTGTTACCTTTGATTTATATAAGTAACATGTTACTCTGATATATTATTGACCTCCTATTAATTGATTAGGCATTAGTACCTAATTAATGTAACTTAATCAAACTTTAACGCTAAAGTTCTGTGTTCGAATAGATATTGAAAAGTTTAATACAACTTGAGGAATGGGTCGTGGGGGAGAGAAGCGCGAGAAGTTAGGGGCGGGACAGGTCATCCCTTGGAGTGAGATTCAGAAACATTCGTCACGTGATGATCGGTGGATTGTCATAAGTGGACAAGTTTATGACGTCACAGAATGGTCTAAAAAGCACCCTGGCGGTCAAAGGCTTATCGGACACTACGCAGGACAAGATGCAACAGTAAGTTTTTTAATATTGTGCTAGTTTTATATCTGACAGTTAATATATTAATCATTCTTGAAGCACACTTTTTCAATGATTCTCACCAATAGCTACATGGTCTGCTATGAAGAAATGTACTGGTTACATAGACGACTAGAATGGGTATTGGTTTAAACAGGATAGTCTGTTGAAATACTCTTGCTATATTTTGCATTTTAATGATTGAACTAATCACAGCTGTTACACGTGTATTTATGATACAGAGAAATCATGTAAGCAATACAAACATATACTGTAGCAGATTCATTATTCTTCTTGCATAATATGGAAGCTGATTTTCGCCATGTGTCGTAATTGTGCTTTATTTTGCCACAAAATCTGGAATTGCGGAAAGGCGACAAACGAAAGGCAACTACACCAAGTGTGTCTGTCGTGTTTTGCATTAAATCTGTCGTGCCTGCTTTATCGCGGAAAAAATGCGCAGATTTGCAAACACAAAGATACGACGAAGTGTATTTTTCACATTTTCTCATTTTCCCTTTGGTGCATTATTGCAATTTAGCTTTGTTTGTATTGTCGCGTTCTGCTTGTACAAGGATAACAACGGAGAGGGCTTACAAAATGTGATATTAAGTAAATGTAAATGAAATTTTAATACATGTACTGGTTATTAAAATCTTTTGTACTTTCATTGTTTCACTTGTTAATCAACTTACTCTTATCCAGTATGATATAAATCTGCAATGTGTAATCGGAACGCAAAGATGCGGAAAAGCAACAATGCGAAATACTAATGAAAATGCAATAATAAAAAAGTAATAACAAAAAAAAAAAAAAAAATAAAATAAAAAACAAATATAAGACGGCAAAACTACATAATGGCGTGTATCAGCCACCATAGGGATATTATTTTATGCTGTCTGCAGCAGTTTTACACATTATTACTACACATGTAGTAATGGGATACGCCTTTTGATGAAAACTGTTCAGCATAAAAATGACATGTTAGTGATAAATTTCCGGGTTTAACAGTCGCTGTGTTTTTAAATATGATAACAAATCGTGATAGCTCATTAAATACTACAACAAGAAGTTTCTTATCATCTAAAGTACGCCCTTCCTACTTCAAGTTACATATTCAATACATTTTAACTGTTATCAGTTACGCGCAAAGTTTGCAAATGTCAAATAATATATGACCTTGAACTATTTTCTGAACCGTAAAGAAATATCGTCTAAAATTATAAATGTTAAGTACTATGTTTAATTGTCAATTTTACAACATCCGAGGTGGAATTTAACTGTTATAGCACACCTTAATTAATAGTTTGTACACATGTGGAATAGTTTGCACACAACTTACATGAGTACACGTAATTTATCAGACACGTATCGAAGCGAAGAAAGAAAAAAACGCCATTTAGATCTTCCTTTGAGATATGGGTGTTAATGATATTCGCAATACTAACATATTAAGTCTAGGACTTGTATAGCAGGATTAAAATCAAACTATCTGAGAAAGACGTGTTACAGTATTGCATTGATTTTTCATCGATTTGTTTTGGTATTGTTATCTCGTATAAAATGTCAATAGGAATATCTGTGTTAAAAGCTTCTTTAAATACAAATGAATGCATCGTAACTTATAAACTAAATACTTAAGTGCTATTATCTCTAATATATAAAGAAAGGTCTATTTAAACATACACATTTCAAAAAAAAAATCCATACAAATCACTTGTTTTAAGTACTTTAAAAAAAAAGCGTTATGGCAAAAAAAAGCAGGTGTAAAGAAAAACGTTCTGATCTGCAAAAAATAGAACATTTATATTTGTGTTACCTAACCATGAAATGAAATTTTTGTTGTGTTATCTAACCATGAAATGCAAAGTTCCCATAGCAAATACAATGCAAATGGCTTATCGTTTTCGTAACAATTTATGACCTTTACAAGATTGCGCGACATTGACAGTTATACAATACAAGTGTAACCTACTTCAATATAAAGTTTGAATAAGCATTAAATTGATTTATTATTTAAATTGTATAATAGAAAATAAATACACGTATGGTCACGTCTTCATTATGATCTAGTAGACGGAGTACAACAATGTCAGTCTGATACAAGATTATTGTGTTAACTTAAAGAAGTATAATTAGATAGATTATTTCGAAATCATATTGTCAATATTGTTCTTTCCTTGTAATGTACACATTAACGAAATGACACTAGTGTCTGAAATAAATCGATTTATTGCTCTATTAATGGTAGAAATCTTAACGGAAACCAAACACTTGTACCATACTAAACAATCACTGGCCGTCACAAAGAGTTTTGAAAAAGTTGTATGTAATCAATCGTAAGGAATGAATTAGAGAAAATTGTTTTTATTGTTCAGTGAAGGACAAACCAGTTACATATTTTAACGATATATCCATACAGACGAAAAAACACACTGCTTTTATATTAGTATACACTTTTTGTTTAACAATATTTGACTGGTGACAGGGTTATTGGTAGGTCTGTAGATAGGGCTGTAGACGTTCCGGGGTTAGAACTTGCAGCGTGATCAATGGCAAGTTAGCTAAATGCAAGCATTGTCATAAAGACAATTATCATTTTATTCAAATGTGTTGTTTTAATGAAATATTTATTAAAAGTTATAAGGTGGTCGTTGCAGTATCTATCAATCTATCTAACTATTGTTTCAACACATGCTGGCTTGAAATTACATTAACTCATTATTAGTTGTCATGTCAAACATCTCCTTGTAACGCCAGATTTTTCATAGTAACATCTCAACACCTCATATGAGCCGCGTCACGACAAAACCAATATAGTGGGTTTGCGACCAGCATGGATCCAGACCAGCCTGCGCATCCGCGCAGTCTGATCAGGACCCATGCTGTTCGCTATTAGTTTCTCTACTTGTAATAAGGTTGGTAAGCGAACAGCATGGATCCTGATCAGACTGCGCGAATGCGCAGGCTGGTCTGGATCCATGCTGGTCGCAAACCCATTTTGTCGTGACGCGGCTCATATCCATTAACTTAAATCACACTATCATGTCGTCACGTGCATTGTCCGTCGCCGAGGCGTACAAAACATTGTAATATAGTAGCTTTTGCGAATCAAATAGACATAAGGCAATAAATTCATCACAATCATGTTCGTTAAAATGTATTATTAACAATTAAGTATCAAAATATAACCAAACTATCCACAATGAGTATAAGATACGGAAAGTAGCGAAGTTAACGAATTTAAACGAAATGTTGATAAATAAATTATTCTTTTACATTTCAGGAAGCGTTCGGTGCATTCCATAACAACTTGGAACACGTGAAAAAATTCCTTAAACCAATTCACGTAGGCCCTGTAGAAAGTTACGTTGACCATGAAATGAATAAAGATTTCAGAAAATTAAAAGAAACGGCTATAAAAATGGTAGGTTTTAATTTAACAAACTCATAATGATAGGAAACACGTAAAATTACTCACAACTACAATTTTTCTATTGAGAGTTAAAATAACTTGTTTTCCGTTAAAATTTGGCATTAAGTGAACACGAGACTCCGAATGTCAAAATCACCTTTACAATTATAGATTTTTATACCATGTTAAAACTAATTTTCCCCTTATTTGTAAGCATTGTTTTCATTTTCTTCCAGAAATTATTCGAGCCCAGCTACCTGTTTTTCTCGGTAACTTTAGCTCATATTCTAATACTTCAAGTTCTGGCATACATGGTATTTTTATGGTATGGTGTACATTTATGGACAGTTGTAGCTTCCCTAATTATGTATGCAACTGCACAGGTAAGAAATATTTCGTCATTTTTGTAACATTTTCATATTCTATATATTCCTGTCCATCCTGAATTCAGTTTGACAAAGAGGTATTTATTTATAGCAGACGTTACAATAAACTTGGATATATAAATGTAATGTCCAAAATCGTTATTCCAATGTAACATATTGTAACATGTTTTACATTGACGTTTTCATACAGTATTTTGTACAGCTACAAGTCTTTCTCTATATACGAGATAGGCATATTTTTAAAGGAAACTAATGTATCAAGTCTCGGTTCTCTCTTCCCAAATCAAAAGTATAATCATTCTAGTTGTTTAGATACAATAAAGCAGAAAGAAATAAGATGACATTTATAGTTGTTGTTATTTTTTTTAGATAAGCAAACTGTATCATCTGGGTTGCTATATAGGTGTATTCTTTGCTTTAAGTGATTAGTTGTTATGTTAACAGATAGTCAATAAATCTCGTCCGAATTTACTTGTACGGCTATTTAAATATTTACCGATTAATATAAGCGATATCCATGCGATATCCATTCGTTATTTTTAATTCTCTTAGTTATATAATAAAAGAAATCTAGCTTCATGTAGTAATTGAAGAGCGTTTTCATGTAATTTGATGCGACATTATTAAATGATTGCTTATTATTTTTATTACAGACACAAGCGGGTTGGTTACATCATGATTTTGGACACTTGTCTGTGTTCAAGACTTCCAAGGCCAACCATTACTTTCATCATTTCATTTTGACATTCTTTAAGGTAATATTTCAAACATATCACTTAATGTTACCTGTACAGGTTTGTTTCTTTGGGGTTTTGCATGAGGGATGTTTTTGGGACAAATTGACACTGTTAGGGCGATTAAGTGAATTAAGGGTATGACCACATATAAACATTAGTATATTGTTTCAAGTATGGGGCACTTTGGAAGTAGCACCAATATTCATAAGATAGCTAAATTCAAGATTTAATAATGTACATGTTACATCATTACCATTTCGTGAACGTGCACATTTAAATGTCGACACACGAACGTGCTCACTGAAATGCAGCAGTTTTTGAACTTTTAAATTCAACATTTAAAGGCGTTCGAAATACACAGGACACCCTTGATATTGATAAGGCAGACCTGTACACTCCTAAAAAGTGAATAATTTATAGATAGATATTTTTGTTTATCTTTTGATGTGTCGCCTGCTACAGAGTTGCGGTCACATATAGGGATCACTTCTCGATCGTCTGTTTGTCTGTCCGTCCGAGCTAACATTTCTATACTTAAATGTAGCTACGAGAACAATAGGAAACTGTACTTCTTCGTTGATGTTATTTATTCCGTAAGGCTTATATGTGGCTATTTTCCTTTATGTGGCTAAAATGAACAATAGATAGGTCAGTGGAGTAGCAACATAAGTAATGTTTCGTTTCTAACGTCAGTCTGTCACAAAACTTGTCCGGATTACTCCTCAAAAAACTTCAGGTGCAAACTTCAGACAAACCTTACAGGAATGATCAGTACTAAGTTTAGTTGTGCATTATATAAATGATTTTAGCTAAGTTATGACCTTTGAATGAAAAAAAAAAGGTTTTGGGCTGTTTATGTTAATGCCAGTCTTGCTACACAGTAGCTGCAACATGCAACAAAGTAGCCACGACTTATATGGAATAAATTGGCCATTCACTCCTCATTACAATTGCTTAATTGACTATCATCAGGCGACACATGTGAACACCGATTGCCCTTGTTTACTTATTGAATGCTGTCTTTTACCAACACCGAGTTAATATTGATAACGTTTACTTGTTTAGAAATGAAAAAGTTTTTACTAATTGGTAACATTTTTGTTGTTTTCAGGGTTGTTCGTCTAGTTGGTGGAATAACTTACACTATCAACATCACGCTAAGCCTAATGTGGTCAGTATTTTATTCGTGCACTACCCTTGTTACATGTTAAACAACACGTGCTTACAAACAAAACAACATTTCTTTAATATATTACATAACAATTACATAAACATTTGTTCATTTCTATTTTCAAAAATCCTTCTTTTGTTCATATTTTTTTCCTCTCATTGACATCAACATGATTTCTCATATTATTCAAACTAAGCACATATACCCATATTTGTATTGATAAAAGTATACTGCTCAAATTAATGTTTATCTCTCCTAGGCTAGGTACTGTCACTCAAATATAAAGTTATTCTAGCCATGTCTTCCTCCAATTAATGTTACAGAGTTTTGATAACTATATGTATTTAAGACCGAAATAGCCAACAAAAAGTTCTTTAGAGATTGAAAGGAAACTTATTGTTATAATTGTGGTTGCCAAATAGATAAATTATCAATACCATTTTAATCAGGATATATTGAATGAAATATGCAAAAATTGTTAACTTATTCAGCTACATTAAGCCTTGCTGACATACTAGTATTCTTATTTGATTCTTATTTGTCACCATATAAAGTAGCCGTATTCTAATGTAGAATTTGCAAGCGTATAATTTAAAATACCAGCCGGTTAAAAATTTTTAATTACTTTTCATTTGATAAAATAAATAAATTACCAGAAGAAGACATGGCACACAAACAGAATAACCCCATCTTTTGTGTAACAGTTTCTACCCCATACTTAGTGGCTTTAATTTAGATAAGACCGAGATGTACTTAAAGGTTAAGAATGTCCAATGTCATAAACGCCCTTCTTCAATAATATTTTATTTACTTGTGTGTGTATATACAGACCGTTGAATAGTTTTCCAATATCGATGGGTACCAATATATACAGGAAATTCATGCCCCATTCCTCTATGATGCCCCATTCCTCTATGATGCCCCATTCCTCTATGATGCCCCATTCCTCTATGTAGATGTATCACATGATCGGTTATTCATGGATAGTTAAACTTCTATAAGAAGGTGGTGATATTTAAGCAATTTAATGATTTAATTGAGAAAGGTGTTTCATTTAATTGGATTTAAATGGTTGACAGTCGTGAATTATTAATATGTTAAACATCGCTGCAGCATGTAGACTGATTGTTTGACTACAAAGTTTGAATTTGTTTTCCTGAACAAAGTTTTCATAAATAATTAGTTATTTGCATTATGAAGTTTAGATCGTGCTTGATTATTTTATGTCCCTTGTGCATTGTGCTAACAGTTTATTCTGTTTTGCAACCATAATTACGTGTACATATAAACACAAACGATTTATTCATCACTAGTTTTGGTAGATAAAATCTCAAGTTATTTCCTGAGTAGACATTATCAGAATCAACTAAATCAATAATCAATGGCAGTTCTTTTTTAATAATTAAAGTTTTCACATACAGAGCGGCACTCTTATAACTTCCGGCAAAGTTTTCCCAAAGAACTTTAATTTTCAGGAGCAACACCTGTCTGCAGCTCCTGATATTTTTTTTGCCACAGGATATTGTTTTTCAGAGTTTCAAGTGTATGAAGCTTTTAATACAAATTGACGGCCTATAGCCATTGTTTGAAAATTTAAACATCTTCGGCGATAGATCAAACCAACACAAATCTTTTCCAAAATTAGGAATATGTAAAGGGAAGTAATCACGATAAGATTAATACAGTATGTATTAAGTTGCTGACAGGCTATTCGTAAAAATACAATACGAATGAGAAAAATATGACCTGAAGCACTAATTGAGGGTTATATTTATGTCAGGAAGGCTATATTTTCCCGTATATCCCGTCAGTACTTGTTTAACGCAAATTGTTAATGACGACAATAAGAAAACTGTTTTCAAAAAAAGCGCGGGAAGAGACACATGCTCTCAAAGACTATACTAACGCTGCGCAATACAAAGTAATTAATTAAAGTATGAAGTCATCATTTGCGGTAAATTTTTAAAAAAAATGAGGTAATGACACTTGTAGAAATGTGCCATAATAAACAAAACGCAATAAAAATAATTGCACACACGAAGTTGACCGTCTTTGATATGGAAATACATTGTTATTTGTGCGTGATTCGGTTCTTTACACAGTATACTAAATATTTAAACCAATCTGAATTTGAGAAATTTATTTGCAAATTATAATTAACTACATATTCATAACTTATTATTATATATAAATCTTCTAATAAACGAAACATTTCTCTGTTTTATATTTGTAGATGGATAAAGATCCGGACGTTCGTTTAGATAAACTTTTTGTTGTTGGGGATGTTATGCCCGTCCAGGTAAAATGCTTTTATTTTTCATTATTAATTTTGAATTTTACATAGTTTTCATTTAAATTCGAACACAAAAAGTGATTTTCACTCATTAATTGGGCATTTATTACTGACAGAGACATCGTATCTTTAGTATATTTAGTCCAAGCATTTGAAAATATTATAAATTGGAATGTATGAGTGGGAGAGCAATTAATGAGATGAAAGGACTTTATCGTTTAACTAGTATTTTTGACATCTTTATGGCAAATGAATTTTTTAGGTTGCGAAGGAAGGAAAAGCAAGTATGCCATTCAATCTACAGCACAAGTACTTCTTTGCTAGTAAGTTTATATTAATATATATATTTTCCATATACCTATCAGCTAATCCAGAAAGCAGTGAACTGGCATTAGCTCCGATTACTCCTGGTAAATTAGAGGCTAGAAAATTGCTTAAATGTTTCCAGTGATCAGATTTTGCATTAAAAGTTATAAATCTATATCTAAGGAAATATCTTACGACACGGGCTGTTATGTAAAATTCACCAGATGTAGTATTTTCATGGCGTAATGAATTATTAAACTAAATTAGTTACATAAGGAATTGTAGTAGAATTTATAAGTTGTTCCCAAAATCGTATGGTGGATTCCCGAGAAATGTCTCTGTAACATAATAAAAGTGAAAAGTGCTTCGTTCATACTGGTATTTTAGAAGTATTCTTTTTCAATGTTTGTACACTACATGCAGCAGAGATAAAGTTTAATGCACAGTTTAAGTTTGATTGATGTACATTACTTAGCATAAACTTTGTTCTATACTATTTATCACACCAATAACAAGCCAACTGCAATGCGTAATATAGTTTACATGTTAAATGGTTTATTATACTTACTTACTTACTTACTGGCGTTCGCAATTACACGACTACACCAGTATTTACGATGAAGGATGTGGTCTGTCTCAGGTCCTCAACATCACCATAAAGCTTCTGTTGGAGGGTTGTTTCCTGAGGCCACGTCGCAGCTCGCTCCTGGTCGTGTCGCTTACATCTTTGGAGGACATGCTCTGCAGTTTGGTCTTCTTCTCCGCACGGACACATTGGAGATTGAACGAGTCGGTACTTTTTGTTCATGTGTGCGTTAAGTCTGTTATGTCCTGAGCGTAGTCTCACCATCATCACTTGTTCTGGCCGGTTCAAGGAGTGATATGCATCAAGCTCTTGTCTTGGCTTTGTTAGTGCTTTGATGATGGTGACTTTCTCCTTGTATGAGACTTGGACATCTGGTTGCTCTGACTGTGCTCCAAATTTAGCCAATTGGTCAGCTTCTTCGTTGCCAGTAATTCCACAGTGTGCTGGTATCCACTGTATGGTAACGTTGCAAATGGTGCTGAGTTCATTCATTGCTCTGGCTAGGTCTGGTGATTTGTTGTTGATCAGGGCTTCCAGGACTGATCGTGCGTCGGTGAGAAAGACCACTGAAGAGACAGCTTCTGACGAGTCTATGATCATGGAGACTGCCTTCATGAGTGCTTCAGTCTCTGCTCTGAAGTTGCTGCAGTGCTTCCCAGTGGCCATATGGTGTGTTTCTGGATATCCTGATGAGTGTATGATTGCTCTTGTGACTGACTCATCCGTGAAGACATGGGTCCACTTAGGGTAGTCTTCGTTGATCATGGCAAGCATAAGACTTTTTTTGATATTCTCACATTCTTGTTTACCACTTTCAAGCTGCGGGATGTCGAGTTTCACCTTAATACCAGACAAGTCATTTGTCAACGGGTCTAGTATGTCTCTTATGCTCAAGGGATTGGTAGGTATAGTTAGCTCTGGTGCAAATTTTCTGTCCAGTTTTTTGGCTTCATGGACAAAGCTGCTTCGCTTGAGCCTGTTCTTTGTATATCCTGCCAGTCTGCTTTTCATGGGACTATCAGGGATACACTTGAACTTCTCTGCCTGAAGGAGCATCTTGGCCTGTCTTCTTTCCTTTAGGGGCTGTATACCAATGACATTTTCCATGAAGGCAATAGGTGTAGATTTTGTGGCTCCTGTTATGATACATAGAGCTTGGTTTTGTACCTTGTCTAGGGTCTGCTGATTTGTCTTGGCTGTTGTTGCCCAAGTTGATGAGCTATACTCCATGGTGGGTCTCACTGTGCCTTGATATATTGTCTTGAGTATCTTTTCATTAGTTCCCCATGTTGTACCAGCTAGCTTACGCATGATAGCAAGTTTCCTCCATTACCTTCTACATGATTTATGTGAGTTCTCCATGTTTGCCTTTTGTCAAAAGTCACGCCAAGGTAAGTGGCTTCATCAACTTCAGCCAAAGGAGTACTTCCAATCAAGACTTTCCCAGCTCTTTGCTTTGAAGATAGGTCTATAGCTTGCAGCCTTCTTCGGGCCCTTCCCTTTCTTGAGAATGGGGATCATGACCGCCTCTCTCCATGTTTGCGGAAGTTGCCCTTGACTCCAACTGTTGTTATAAATCTGAAGGAGTTTGCTCATTGCTGTAGGCCCTAGATGGATAAGCATTTCGTTGGTGATACCATCTGGTCCTGGAGATTTCTTGGTCTTCAGCTTCCTGAGCGCTGTCTTGAGTTCGTGCTGTGTCAGGCGCTGGTTCATATGATGTGATGTTTCCCTGTCTGTTTTCCTTTCTCTTTGCTCTCTCCGAGCCCTTCGTTGTTGTTCTATGTTGACAGGGATGTCACTTGCATCCTTGTATTTGTGGGCAAAGACATTGGCTGCCGGTATACCAGTCAACATTTCACCCTCTTCCTCCAGGGTGACTGGGCCTCTCGCTTGGTCTTTGTCATCATTTAGCTGTTTCGTTAATCTCAACAGCTTACGGCCATCTCGCTCAAGGTTCACTGAGGCTGTTTTGTTCTTCCAGCTTTTCCTGTGCTTCTAGCTTGTATCTGAGGAATTTGGCCTTTGCTTGTTGCAGTTTGAGATTAGCCTCTTGTGATTGGTTGGATTCTGCTTCCTCCCTGGCTTGAGACAGTTTGTTTTGAAGTTCACCCAACTCGTCACTCCAGTATGGCTTGTAGTCCACCCTAGACCCTCTTGGGATAGCCTTATGTGCTGAGCTGAGGACACTTTTGTTGAAGTCTTTGACAACATTGTTAATGTTTCTTCCTTCAACTCTGATACCTTTACAGAGGTTATCACTCTCCGATGCGTATAAGGTCCAGTTGGCCTTCTTGTAATTCCATCTGGGAGAGCTTAAAGAACAAGAAATAGATTTGTCAAGAGTGAGCTGGATTGGTCGATGATCACTACCTCCTAGTTGTTCAGAAACTTTCCTTGTAGTGTGCCCGTGTAGGTCGTCAGTACAGAAGGCGAGGTCAGAAGTTGTTGTGGTGTGCCATCATAATAAGAGTAAAATGTTGGTTGATCATCAGGCTTGTTTATCAATATCAACTTCTTACCATCTTGCCAGGTTTTCACTTCATCTCCTCGATTGTCAATGTGGTCATATCCCCAGCTTTGTGTCTGTTGAAGTCACCTACAATGATGAAATTGGTATCATCTGTTGGTATGTTGTCAAGGGATAGATTTTTGTCCTGTGGGGAGTAGAAGTTCACAAGAGTCAGACTGAAATCGTTCTTTCTAAGGCTAAGTACCTGGAATTCGGAGTCATCTGTATGCGTTTTAGACTGGAAAGCATTGATGTTGTTCCGGACTAATGTCAAGATTCCTCCTTTCTTTCTTCCTACCCTGTCACTTCTGAAGCACTGGTATCCTCTGACCTTAAAGGATTTAGCAGGTTGCAGGTGTGTTTCCTGAATGCAGCAGACATTAATGTCTCTCTCATGAAGAAAGTGCTGCAGTTCAGTCTTCTTGTTATAGACCCCTTCTGCATTCCAATGCATTACTTTTAAGTTTTTAGCTCACCTGAGCATGCTCAGGGTTAGCTTTTAGGATCGATGATTGTCCGTCGTCCGTCCGTCGTCCGTCCGTTCACATTTTGTTGTTAACACTCTAACGGTCGCATTTTTGCCTTAATCATCATCAAACTTGGTCAGGATGCTTATCTAGTTGATAGCTCGGATGAGTTCGAACATGGGTCATCTCGGATGAAAAACTAGGTCACAAGAGCTAAAAATAGAAAAACCTTGTTAACACTCTAGCGGTCACATTTTGGCCTCAATCATCATCAAACTTGGTCAGGATGTTTGTCTAGGTGATAGCTCGGATGAGTTCGAACATGGGTCATCTCGGATGAAAAAGTAGGTCACAAGAGCTAAAAATAGAAAAACCTTGTTAACACTCTAGCGGTCACAATTTTGCCTCAATCATCATCAAACTTGGTCAGGATGTTTGTCTAGGTGATAGCTTGGATGAGTTCCAACATGGGTCATCTCGGATGAAAAAGTAGGTCACAGGAGCTAAAAATAGAAAAACCTTGTTAACACTCTAGCGGTCACATTTTGGCATCAATCATCAACAAACTTTGTCAGAAAGCTTGTCTAGGTGATAGCTCGGATGAGTTCGAACATGGGTCATCTCTGATGAAAAATTAGGTCACTGGAGCTAAAACTAGAAAAACCTTGTTAACACTCTAGCGGTCTCATTTTTGCATCAATCATCATCAAACTTGGTCAAGATGCTTGTCTAGGTGATAGCTTGGATGAGTTCGAACATAGGTCATCTCGGATGAAAAAGTAGGTCACCGGAGCTAAAAATAGAAAAAATTTGTTAACATCCGACCGGTCACATTTTTGCATCAATCATCATCAAACTTGGTCTGAATGCTTGTCCAGGTAATAGCTCAGTTGAGTTCGAACATGGGTCATCTCAGATGAAATAATATGTCACTGGAGCTAAAAATAGAAAAACATTGTTAACACTCTAGCGATTACATTTGAGCCTCAATCATCATCAAACTTACTCAGGCTTATTTATTTGATAGCTCGAATGAGTACGAACATGGGTCATCTCTGATGAAAAACTAGGTCACAAGAGCTAAAAATAGAAAAACTTTGTTAACACTCTAGCGGTCACATTTTTGCATCAATCATCATCAAACTCGGTCGGGATGTTTGTCTAGTTGATAGCTTGGATGAGTTCGAACATTGGTCATCTCGGATGAAAAACTAGGTCACAGGAGCTAAAAATAAAAAAACCTTGTTAACACTCTAGTGGCTACTGTTTTGATCCAAATATCTTGTAAATTGGTCTGAAAGTTTATTTTGATGATTTCTAAGTCAAGTTCGAACGTGGGTCATCTTGGATGAAAAACTAGGTCACACCGCCCAAATATTGAAAAACCTTGTTAACATTGTAGTGGTCATATTTTCGACTCAATTATCATTAAACTTGGTCAGGATGCTTGTCTAGGTAATTAAGTTCGAAATCGCATGTGAAACTAGGTCACCGGAGCTAAAAATAGAAAAATCTTGTTAACACTCTAGTTGCTACTGTTTTGATCCAAGTATCCTGGAAATTGGTCTGAAAGTTTGTTTTGATGATTTCTAGGTCAAGTTTGAATATGTGTCACCTGGGTAAAAAACTAGGTCACACTGCTCAAATATGGATAATCCTTGTTAATACTGTAGTGGTCACATTTTTGACTCACCTGTCATGAGACTTGGTCAGAATGCTTGTCTAGGTAATTGTTTGGATGAGTTTGATGGGTCAGGTGAGCGATCTAGGGCCATCATGGCCCTCTTGTTTGCTTTTGGTCTTTCATCCTCCGTGGCTTTCTGTAGCCTTTTTGTCTTCTCCTCTCGATATGTCTGGAGGAGGGACCCCCAGTAGCTTGGGGTGGACTCTGTCGAGGCTGGGAGCCCGGCACTGAATCTCTCTGGAGGGAGTCCAAAGATCCAGCACCACATCGTCTAACACTAGATGATCGTGTAATATTTACGTAGGTGCATGGCGCTGTGGTTTGTTAGAGAGTGCCAATGGCCCGGCACCGCTGATTTCAACTCTCTAGGGGTTCTGTAGGGGGTACCTCACCCTTCGCCTTCGCCGATCCAACGACGAACCACAAGTCAGTGGTGGTTCTACTTAACCCAGTAGTAGGAGGTCAGTTGATGGGCACCAGGGCATATCCACACGCCGATGGGCCATGTATGCCGCATCTCATGGGAGGCTGACCACCGCCCCTGCCAGGTTATCCCGCCCAGCGGTCGGTCGCACCCTCAGTAGGCTCTGTACGTAACAGGGAGCACGAACTGGAACGCGCAACTGAGGAAACATTAACACAGCAGGGGACCTATGCTGAGTCCAGGTGGACTTAGCGGCATAATCTGTGTCTAGCATGCCAGAGGCTTACCAAATTCGCCTATGAACCATTTGATGCGCATAACATGCCTTGCGTGAGCGGGTCATCCAGCCCATGACCTCACGGCTCCCCAATGGTTTATATTCAGTCATTTTCTTTTAATTGAAATATATGCTCGCCCATATGGTTTTATTCCGGTGGGTAACAAATCTTATTTCGGTGGGTAAACTAATAACATTTTATAATATATTTTTTCAGTTGGACCTCCGCTGCTCTTTCCAGTCTACTTTCAAATTATGTTATTTAGGTTTCAAATTACAAGAAGATTATGGAAGGTGAGTGTTCAAATACTTAAAATATTCAATTAAAACTATCATATGTTAAACACAATTACAAAAGCTTTTTTGTACAAAGACACTTTCACGTTATGTGAGTAGCATTTTATGTGATAAGGGTTTCGTGTCCTTGTGAATCATCTTCGTTTGATATGGGAATAAAAAACAACAACCCAAACAAACGGTAAGCAGTCAGGTGTACTTTTTTACTTTTATATAATATAGTGAAAAATCTGTTTATAGTTAAATTTTGTTAGAAGGAATCCACTCAAAATTGTTCATTCGCTTGTTTTCATTGGTTGGAATTTAATTTTGTTCCAATGAGAATTCTCCACTTATCAGACTAGCACTGTGTAAAAAGTTAAAACATAATTTTAACCACAAAAAGGTAAGTGTTTATTAAATCTACATTCATTTAATTAAATACGTCATTTCAGCTCTTATGTTCATACATAATGAAAATAAATTGGATTTGCAACCTTGACTGAAACATAAATCAGACTGTCTTTTTATATTCGTCGGAGTTTCAGGTAGCTATATAGAGGGTCATTTGAAAACCACATTTAATTATCTGTATTAGCTCACTCGCTTGTTTACAACTACCTGTGCGATCTATCAGTTATTCTTCCGTAAGGAAACAAATACATGTGTTTAATGAAACTGAATAAATAATGATGACTTGATTTTACACCGGAAACAACCGCATTTTACATTGCCACAATCTGATACAGATTTTTGTAATGGACTCAAGTCTGACTGTTTTTAAGTTTCTTATTCAGTATAAACTAAATTATTTAAGGAAACACTTTTTTCTAGAAATATTTCACTTAAAGTTCATAAACATGTTGTATGCATACTTGCATGCCTAGTTAATTATCTGCCTGAATTAATCTGTAGCTTTTCTCACTAAAAAATATTCATGTACCTTTGGGTTATCAACTTCGAAACAGGAATTTTGGATTAACCGATAAGAATGGCTTTTCTTTTGAAAAAGAACTGCCACTATTAGGCTTAATGTTCTGAGTTACTTAAGATATAAGACTGTACGATCTTCCGTCAGCCACCTTGATGAATGTTTTAAATGCTATAATATCGCCTATAGCCTGAGAGATGGTCGATAGTAACCTTAGATTAGATTGATTTAAACAAGTACTTGAATTTATCAGTGAAAAACGAGGCTATCTAACTTACTGTATGTCACCCGGTTTTTGAAATGTTTGGCTTAAGCCTCCTTCAAATTGTATGTATTTGCTCACTTAAGGACATGGGAAGTTATATATGCATAGACAATAAATGTACCGTCATCGCACTTGAATTCGCCTATCTTCCATCATATTTGTTCATCAAGTTTTGTTTTTCCAATTTTCTTGTACCGTTCTCTTCCCCCTTCCCCAATGATTCGTACGTTTAAACATTAATTATAGATCTTTTATCACTGTTAAATCATGACTGATTGTTAGCATATATATTAAGCACTGGATGTTTTAATTAAGTCTTAATTCGTCTACTGAAAACATGGTATATATATCTGTGAGGTTAATAACAATAGTCAGATCAGGATACCTTGATGCTTTAGTTAATGAAAATATTATATTTTCATAATCAAGTAAAATGTTGTTGTTTTTGTTTTTTACAGGAGTTGAGTATATGTTTAATGTATTACCTAATACATTTTTACCTGCATATACCGTTACTTGGCGTTGGAGGAGCAATAGCACATTACTTTACAATGAGGTGATTTTATCATTATCTCTCTTGCGCTACTACTTATTTTTAGAGTTAATATATTATCTCCCTTGTTGTATTCTACTCATTTATTGCTATGAGGTGATATATAAAATTTTACTTTCTGTATATCATTTCCGGTATATTTCTTTTTTATTATAACTCACCTTTACTGCTGTATTGTATATACTTATATAGTTATATATTTAAAGGTCACTTTACTCACACACACTGAATAACGTCCATTAAAGCCATTTTACAAAAAATAGTCAGTGTCTGCCATTTGACATTTACATGTATAAAATTTTATTCTGAACTTTTCAAATCATTTAAGTATTATGAAAAACTAACCAGTATATTGTGATATCACGTGATGTGACTCTGGATCTTTGCCTTTAAAAAGAAACTAGATTTATTATAATGCAGTTTGATAAATAACACTTGTATTTATATAAACTAAATGAATGAACATTATATTTTAGATGCATGGAGAGTCATTGGTTCACATGGGTGTCACAATCAAACCATATACCTATGACAATAAAGACGGATGAAGCGAGTCCATGGCTCCAGTTACAACTCAATGCAACATGTGACATTGAAAAATCTTTCTTCAATGATTGGTTTACAGGGCATCTAAACTTCCAAATAGAACATCAGTAAGTGACATGTCATTTAACAAGATCATTGAAAGAATTAATTTTATTTGTGATTATATGGTTAGAACTACACAGTAACTTTACTTAGACATCAGCGACGAGACAACATCGTGACGATGACTTGATGTAGACAGGACTGATTTTATAGAACTGTTACAGCATGGTGACGATGACTTTATGTTCTTTATGATGTTACAGAACTATGACTGTGATTAAACATAGACATGTCTGATGTAACGACACCGTCACAATGACTTTATGTAAACATCACTGATGTTACAACACCATGACAGTGACTTGACTTAGGCATGACTGAGGTTTCAGCACCGTGACAGTGAGGTGACAGTGACTTGAAGTAACATCATTGATGTAGTGTTCTGTCTATTTATCAGCTTACCATGTAATTATTATTATTAGAAGAAAAGATCGTTAAATGATTATTCACAAAGTTATCAGAATTATTTAATTATCGTTGGTTATTGTTAATCATTTAACAATGTTGTGTTTTCAGCCTATTCCCAACAATGCCTCGGCATAACTTATATAAGATAGCACCACTGGTGAAATCCCTATGTGAGAAACATGACGTACCGTATATAGTAAAGCCACTGTGGCAATCATTTGCTGACATAGTCAAGTAAGTGCACGTGATGCGCGTATTTACTCGTTCTTTCTTTCTTTCTTTCTTTCTTTCATTCTCATAAAGACATATCATTACTTACTTTTTACATTGTATCCATTTAAAAGGCTTCTTTAGAAATACATTAATTTTTAAACAATCGGCAATATTAATGCAAATGTGATAGATGAACGGAAATACTTCCTACATAATTCACACGAGGGTTTTTTTTTTATGGAAAAACAGCTTTTTCCTACTAAATTTAAATGACAGGGATTTTTTTTGCTTATTTTATAGCAGTTATTGGGTCATATTCCCAAATAAAAATAGTATATTATTTTCCCAATTCACAGGAAAAGAATCCCGATTGAAAGTTGCAAAATGAAAATATTAAATAAAGAATTCTAAAATCTTTGAAAATAAGGGCTTCTTCACTGTAATAAGTGTTAAAATGTTTGAAGATGCTATCATAGACAGTGACTGTTTGCATTCATTTAATCACTGCAAAATTTCAGTCATGCATTTTTTCCCACTTTTTAACAAACATCGTTGAACTTTCCAATTCCATGGGTATGGGTCATGTTCCCAAAATCCTGGAAAAAATCCCTGAATGATAATTATGTACAATTATGACTTATAGTTAGGGCATTTATTTTTGGGTGTTTCTTTATTTTTTAAATAACAAATTTTTTATTATGAAATACTAGTATAAAATTATATAGATATCAATTTTATTCTGTAAAAATACAATTTCATTCCATCTTGTTTGTTTTCAGGTCGCTAAGATCATCTGGGGAGCTTTGGCAAGAAACTTATAATGAATTCCACTGTAAATAATGGCTGTACTAGTATAGTGTATATACAATTGTATGTTTGTGTAGGGTTTTATAATTTCAAACATTTTCATTAAATGGTGATTGACTTTCTTCTTGTGTGTTACTTGTTCTCATATATATATAAATATACAAAATATACATCGTAATTCAGTTTATGGAATCACAAAGTTACTATTTGTATGACTTAACTATCTTAAATATTTTAATTTAGTGTAAAAGTAATAAACATGTAACAGGATGATCTGAAACTATGTCTGTCTCCTAAATCTAATTGCATGCCATGTCATAGTGTGCTTGCTGGGTTGTTATTATAGGAAAGGTAATCTCTTGGTAATATAGCTGACATTTTAACATTTAGAGTATATGGCTTTCAGTTTAATGTGTGAGACACTTTACGTGGGTGAGTTTTTTTAGTCTAGTCCACTCCAGTATGTCCGTGATGGAACTAATGTTAGGGGAAAAACTAAAGGGTCCTCCGCCAATTGATAGATCCCTACTCTGACCTTTCATTTGAATAACAATTGATATAACTACAAACATTGACATGAGGTCTTTTGTTAAGAAATATGTTGTGGTGAAATTCTTATTATGTCCACTTATCTGATAATTAGTATTAGGTCAGGGATCTATGCATAATACTTCAAAGGTGCCACGTGACCTATCTTTAGTGACGAACTATGAAACGTAAGGGGTTGGGGGATAGAAACAACCAGTTTGTCTGTTTGATTTGTGTTGGAGATAAGGGGCACGGTTAATAGAGAGAAGTATAAAGGTTTAAGGTTTCTCAGCCTATTATTTTATCATTTTGTACCCAATTACTATATATATATTTACATGTAGATTTATATTTCATTGTTATGGCATCCTACTTTTATACTTGTTATTTTGATTCGCATCTGCCTTAGTAATACAATGCTTCACTGTAATGCTTATATCAACTGTTATTTCAAGTTTACAAATATTTATATAATGTATTTATAATGAGACTTTTGATAATTGATTTATTTTCCAATAAAACACGTGAACACGTGACATTTCCATTTGCGTCCAATTTTATGTAAATTGTGTTTGTCTTGCAACATGTTTTTCATGTTTTAATGGCATTTGTTGAGTTTACTTTGTTTTAAAGTGAATTGGTCGATAATTAGTATGCTATTATAGTGTGAGACATGATCCAATATAACGAATATTTATATTCATATATATTTATATATATATTTATATATAGCACTTCATAAAAAATAATGCTCTGGAACAATATATTCATCACTTACACTTTTATCAACATTTTTCTTCAAGCAATTGTTTTTAAGAATATCCAAATGGTTCATTTATATTGTTTTCTTCTCATATTTGAAATTCTTATGGTAAATGTGCTTATTGTCGACCAATCCACTTTCAAACAGATACAACATGATAACCTGAAAAAGGGTTAATTAAATTGCATTGAGAAAAAAATGACAAATGATCTTACTGTTCCTGGTGTGTTCATGAAAAATTTGGCAGTTTTATTTTTCATTTTAAATGAGAAAGATCTTTCCCTAAGGATGAAAGTTAAAAAAATAAAGCTGAATGTAAAGTGGAATCTGTAAGTTTATTTTGACTTATTCCATGGTCAAATGTCTGAACGAAATCACATACTAGTCTGACGTTTTTATTTCTTTCATACATTTGGTCCCACATACAAACATGTAGTTCATTATTGAAATTAAGTTAATCACTTGTTCGAATCTTGTGAAAAGTTAAGAGGGTGTTTGTGACTCTATTCTTCAATCTTCGTGTATGAGGATTGGATTAAAAGGGTTCTAAACAATAATTAAGAGCTCCGCAAATATGTATACAATTTTGTGTGATCTGAAATTTGAAATTAATTGATAAATATAACTGTATGAGAAAGCGACTTATTTAACGCCACTGTACGAAGGGTTTTCAAACTTTAAAATTTAGGTAGATTTCTTCTATAACATTACAATACACCTACTCTTTAATATGGAAATAGCGATCATGTCGGTGTATTCTTATCATAGAGTAGGGTTTAGTTCTAATTTCTTTGCGTAAAGAAATAGGCATTCAAGGAGAGTGAATTCGGAGCACATCAACAGGGTTTACACTGACAGGACGTCAAGAACGTTGTGATCATTTGGGTAATGAACGTGCTGTTTTAGAGGGATTGATTTGTTTTCTAAGTATCGATGTAATTGGTACAAAACAAACATTCTGTGATAACATACGAATTAAAAAACAATATAGCCCTTTTTACAATATGATAATACAATAGTAACGGAAGTAGCATTTCGTGCATGTGAATTCTGCGTAGGGCAAAAAAGCAGAAAGTATTCATTAACCTCATTAAAAAAATTGATATAATCTTGATGATTAACAGTATATGTTTTATGTCTCTATGTTGACTATTTTGCCTTATATAATTAAAGTCTACGTCATTTTTGAACACTCCTTGTACATATATCATTAACCATTATCCGTTTATGCACGGGGAGGGAAGACTTTCTGACTGGTCTACCTAATGTTGGAATCATTACAATTTATACCTTACCAGTTTGGGCATGACTAAAGTAAAATGCATATGATTATAGAATACTACTGAGAGATATAAGTAAAAGGTGCATCTAAGGAGGTTCAAATTATTGTTCCATGTATTATAAACTCTATGGTTTGATATGTTTACCATCACAATGGACCGGTTTAATAGGGACACCTAATTACGCCGTCCACCATGTAGCTTTAAAAATTAAAATCATGATCAATAAGTCGTGAACTTGTTATTCTGTAGTTTACCGGAAATACAAGAAATTATTGACAATCACCTTGTACAGATCCAGTGTAGCTTAATTAGCATTAATTACACTTTTGTTTATATTTAATAGAAGGGCCATGGCTGCTTTTTCGTTGTTTACCAAAGTGAAGACTGAAACAACTCTCATCAAATGCCCAAAAGAGCATACAAATAATATGAAATAATATATACAAATCTATATCCTTTATGTGAATAGGTTCTTTCAAATTACCTTCATGAATACCAAAATGTCTAGATATCAGGTAATGTGAAGAAAAAAATAGAAAATTTACGGGCTGTAAATAACATTTAAATCAAACGTGTATAATGGCAAACAAACAACATTCATTTACTTGGTAAAACGTAAATAAAATCAATTTTAAAATATATCTTAAACCACATAATATTTACGTACAAATTTGAATAAATGTTTGCCGATGTAACATGCATGAGTAAATGTGTCAACAACAAACTACGGTATACTAATATCACCATTATGATTTCTAGAACTTTGGTTAATCAGGGCTCTTACAATATCCTCTGATCTCACTCGGTAACAATCTTAAATTACAAAGAACAATTGCACAGTCTTTTACTACAGTATATCAACTTTAAATTTCAATGTTAACAAGTATTGTTTATTAAGTCAACTTCACTAACCATGTCACATTTTCAAGTAACTATATTTTTCATATATCCAGTATAACAATATCAATTGATGCAATGTGAACCACTCTTTTTTAAGATTCGTTTGGACACTGTTTAACATTTACTAGGATCATGTCACATATGTGATAATGTTAATAATAAAAATGACACATACAAATTTCATAAAAGGATGTAAAAAAACAAAAAAACAAAACGTTTCTAAATCACTCGTATCATTTTTAGGTGTAAACGTTTCATTAGACAAAAACAATATTATACACACTGATTTACATGTTAAAGAGACAGATAATCATCAGTATTTAGAATACTCTTCCTGTCACCCAGTGTCTTGTAAAAATGGTATTCCGTACAGTCAAGGAAAACGTTATCGCCGTATCAATTATCCTATCAATGTTATTGATAATGCACTAAGTAAGGTTTCATGTCTAACACAGGATGAGGCCCTGTGTACTAACAATAAAGCAAGTGATGGCAGTGTAATTCCCTTTGTTGTTGAGTATAATCCAACTTTACCTAATATAAGTAATATCATTAAAAAATATAAAATAAGTAATAAGATAGGAGATTACAAAAGCTCAGTGAAGGCCCATTTACTAGAACAGTTAGGAAATCATAATTAAATTCACTAGTATGACTAGATATTGCTCTTCATTTTTATTGTTTTCCTTTTAGCAAAGTTAAAGGAAATACTAAAGTTAAATACTTTATTTATATGACATCTTCCAGTTTCCGAAGTTTTGGTTTTTCAAGGTTTTTGTTTTTATATTGTATATTCTAGTAAGTATATATCCAAGGACCCCTTTGGAAATAAGCCTTCGGGCTTTCATGGGCAATCCGAGGTTATTGCATACTACTCTATACATGCTTCCACTTACGTCGTCACATTATATTTAACTGGTAAATTGATATCTAGTCAAAGGAAAGAAAGAGTTTTAGTTTTTCTTTTTTGTATTATATTTTATTATTATACCCCCGCACATCAAAGTTGTAAGGGGGGTATACTGGCATCAGCTTGTCCGTCCGGCCGTCCGGGTGTCCGGCCGTCGGGCGTCCGTCGGTTTTTTCTTGTCCGCCCAATAACTTAAGATTCCTTTGACCCACAGTCTTCATATTTGGCATGGAGGTTAGTCATGACGAGTAGATGACCCCTGTTGATTTTGAGGTCGCCAGGTCAAAGGTCAAGGTCACAGGGGCCTTGACTTAAAAAAGCTTGTCCGCCCAATAACTTAAGATTCATTTAACCCACAGTCTTTATATTTGGCATGGAGATTAGTCATGACGAGTAGATGACCCCTATTGATTTTGAGGTCACCAGGTCAAAGGTCAAGGTCACAGGGGCCTTGACTTCAAAAAGCTTGTCCGCCCAATAACTTAAGATTCCTTTGACCCACAGTCTTTATATTTGGCATGAAGGTTAGTCATGACTAGTAGATGACCCCTATTGATTTTGAGGTCACGGGGACAAAGGTCAAGGTCACATGGGCCTTAACTTCAAAAAACTTGTCCGCCCAATAACTTAAGATTCCTTTGACCCACAGTCTTCATATTTGGCATGAAGGTTATTCATGAAGAGTAGATGACCCCTATTGATTTTGAGGCCACCAGGTCAAAGGTCAAGGTCACAGGGGCATTGACTTCAAAAAGATTGTCCTTCCAATAACTTAAGATTCCTTGGACCCACAGTCTTCATATTTTGCATGTAGGTTAGTCATGATTAGTAGATGACCCCTATTGATTTTGAGGTCACCGGGTCAAAGGTTAAGGTCAAGGGGACTTTGACTTTAAAAAGTTTGTCCGCCCAATGAATTAAATGAATTAAGAAACCTTTGATCCACAGTCTTCATATTTGGCATGGAGGTTAGTCATGATTAGTAGCTAACCCCTATTGATTCTAAGTTGACTGGGTCAGAGGTCAAGGTCACAGGGGCCTTGACTATAAAAAGCTTGTCTGCCTAATAACTTAAGATTCTTTTGACCCACAGTCTTCATATTTGGCATGGAGGTTAGTCATGATAAGTAGAAGACCCCTTTTGATTTTGAGGTCACTGGGTCAAAGGTCAAGGTCACAGGGGCCTTGATTTCAAATAGTTTGTCGAACCAATAACTTAACAAACCTTTGACCCACAGTCTTTATATTTGGCATGGAGGTTAGTCATGAAAGTAGATGAACCCTATTTATTTCTATTACACTGGGTCAAAGGTCAAGGTCACAGTGGCCTTGACTAAAAATGCTTGTCCGCTCAATAACTTAAGATTCCTTTGATACACAGTCTTCATATGTGGCATGGAGGTTAGTTATGATTAGTAGGTGACCCCTATTTATTTTAAGGTCACTGGGTCAAAGATCAAGGTCACATGGACTTTGACTTCAAAAAGGTTGTCCACCCATTAACTTAATATTTCTTTGACCCACAGTCTTCATATTTGGCATGGAGGTTGATCATGACTATAAGGTGACCCCTATTGATTTTGAGGGTCACTGGGTCAAAGGTCGACTAAAAAAAGGTTTTCCCCTCAATTGCTTAAGAATGCCTGTCCCCAGTTTATTGATTTTTACATTTTCACATTTGAAGCATGTAGAATACATAACAATGGCTTAGTAACCTCAGATTTGGCAAGGACGTTGTCCTTGAGCTCTAAATGGCCACTGTTGATTCTGACAAAGTGGTATGCGGGGGTATTCACGCCATGACAGTGGCAGTTCTAGTTTAATGAGCCGTCTGTGATATTTATGTTTGACAAACTTCCGAAATATTTTATTACAATTGTGTCATCAGTTTTATATAAAATGCTTAAGTGTTTGTATTATGTATATGTGTGTTTTAACCTGAATAAATAAATATATATCTATCTATCTATCTATAATAATAATAATAATAATAATAATAATAATAATAATTTCATTTTAAACAACATTTTAACATAGCAGGTGTTGCTCTTATAACATACCCGAAGAGTTGATTGCTTAATTGTGAAACATTCTTCCGTCTTTAGAAAGGGCAAACTGGTTTTATAACGTTTAAATACTGGATGCTCATCACCTAAAGAAAGTGGCACTAATTGTGAAATTTGTCATCAAAGTTTGTAAAAAGACGAGTATTTTTTACTTCCATACAAAATACTGAATCACTAAAACTGTAATGATTGCCAAAAAAGCTACAGAGATAAAATGTGTAACTTTTGGGAAATTATAACAAGATGGGGTTCGATTGTCCAACCCTGGTTAAGTCTGATAATCTAAAACAAAATAACAGAGTACGGTAGATATATTTCACAAATCGTTAGATATATTCCGTTATGATATACTCGAGTATCTAGTTTACAGTATAGCTAATTATTTATTCATTTAAAGTTTTCAACTTTTATTAGAAATAACAGAAAATCTTTTAACATTAATATTATTGAGGGTTTGATTGGGAAATATCAGATTCGGTGTGACCACCCCCATCCCCCGCCCCAACACCCATCCCCCACGACAGCCACGCCTGTCTTTATTTCCACTGAAATCGCGTGGTAGAAGTACTTGATATAGCGAGATGAATATGAACTACCGTTGAGGTGCACCGATGTATTCAACTTTGTCAAAGTGATGAAATCCCTTCTTTTCTGTGTTGAACAAAGTTGTGGTAGTTTTAAAGTAAGTACTCGTTCTTCAAGCGTACCAATATTGCCAATATATTTTTACATTTTACGACAATATCTCACTTTGCATCGCACTCTTGATCCAAACGGCGATATGATGGCCTCAATGGAACACCGTATTTTTTATCTTAGGATGTCATAGTGTAAACAATCACGAGTACAGGACAAACTTGTGTAAAAGTTTTGGTTTTATACTGTTAGGTAGGGAAAATGTATTATATTAGAGGATTACCTATTCTCCTGATTCTGATAAATCAATATCAATCAGCAGAAGTTCCAAGCGTTGCTACGAAACTAGGAATGATAACTGGAGAAACGAAAAGTGTAACATTTCAAAGAAATGCGTATCAAGTTGATAGATACCTCGGAATTCCATACGCTAAACCGCCGACTGGAGATTTAAGATTTCAGCCTCCCCAGCCATTCGGTCCATTTTCCGAGACATATAATGCTGCTGATTTTGGAGCCTCGTGTCCACAGCAAAGCTATCCTTTTATGCCGGTGGAGAAAAAGACTGACGAAGATTGTTTATTCCTGAATATTTATGTTCCACGCCAGAAACCCGATGAACCTTCTGGTCACGCGGTAATGTTCTTTATACATGGCGGTGGATTTTCAACAGGTTCTAGTAATCATTTTGATGGGGCAGTATTGTCGTGTGAGGGAAATGTTATTGTAGTGACAATAAATTATAGACTAGGGCTTCTCGGATTCCTCGACATAGACAATGAAAAGGCATCAGGAAATTTCGGATTACTTGATCAACACTTTGCGCTTCAATGGGTTAATGAAAATATCGGTGCATTTGGAGGTGACAAAGACAGGGTAACAATATTTGGGCAGGCAGCTGGTTCAATGAGTGTTGCCTTGCATATGTTGTTTCCGTCCAATAAAGGACTGTTTAGAAATGGTATAACACAGAGTGGCTCATTAGACCTTCCAGGTATATACCTCGAAAATAATATTGATATGGCTAAATCTTTTGCGAAAAAAATGAGCTGTAGTATTGAAACAGTTGATGAAGTGTTTAATTGCCTCAAGGAAGCATCACATGAAAATATAATCCAGGTTATTCTAGATGAAATGCAATCTGGGGTTATGTCGTCTACTGCCCTTGCCGATGTCGCTTTAACAATTGATGGCAAATTCATCAGAAACAACCCTGCTAATATGATTAAGAAAGCGGACACAGACAGCTGTGAGGAAATTGACTTCTTCCGATCAATTAAACTGATAAACGGCGTGAATGGTAATGAAGGGGGATTTTTGTTTTTAACAGGGTTGGGAAATTCTGAAATGTTAGAAGACTTGGAAATAACTCGAAAAAAAATGAACACACGACTGGTTCCTGGCATCATGGCAATTATGTATGAAAACAAAACTGTACCGGAATTTCTGCAACAACTTATTATCTTTGAATATACTGATTGGGAAAATCCAGATGATCCCAAACGACTCCGTGAACAAGTAGTTCAACTTAGTGGCGACATATCTTTCAACGTTCCGGGTATTGAAATGAGTCGGTTTCATTCTAATGCATCTAATGTCGATAGTTATGTTTATCATTTTCTTCCTAAATTGGCAAAGCCGTTGTTTCCATTACCTAAGTGGGTGAAATATGCGAACCATGGAGATGAATTAATACCTGTATTCGGCTATAACTTTGATCCCCAGGACCTTTCCAACATATCTGAGTACACGCCACCAGAATGGGAGCTTGATCTTTCAAACAGAATGATGAAATATTGGACAAACTTTGCTAAGACTGGGTAAGTCTTATACATGTGCATGTATACATTTTATATTCTTGATTATTATATATGTATTATTATATTTACGTTTGGAATCCGACTTAATATATTCAAAAGTGTTCTTTCACGTCAATTTCATATAAAAGATAAAAATGACCGGATTTCTTAAAAAATATAAAAAATTGCCGATGTCGCTGGTAAACAAGTCTTGTCTATGCTTGCCTGTTAACTCATTCTCCATTTTACCTGCTTCTTTAACTTATCATGACTATGATGTTTCACTAGCGCTACATGGCTTTTAATGGGACAATATGTAAACGATGTACATGTATATAATGAAGACTTTTAATTTTTATTCCATTTTTCAGCGATCCAAACAAACCAGATTCAGAAATGTTAGCGTGGCCAAAGTATGACGTCAAATCTCAATCCTATTTCATGTTTGATAAAGAAGATTCCATTGGTCAATATTTGTATGCGAGACCAACGGAATTCTGGACAAAAATTGTAAAAGCTGTGATAGATGCTACAGAAGAGCATGCCCAGACTGTAACATCACAGTTTGGAAAGAAGGAAAGCCAAACATGTGATAAAGATGGGAATTGTGGATAACAAAAAAAACTGTTTATATTTTTTTTATTTGTTATGAACAAACTATTGTATTCTATGAAAAAATATTTGTTGTCTTTTTTACAACTACAGAAAATGAAGTTATGTAAGTTATGTTCAAATGGTTAACCTAAATGAACTTCTGAAGTTTTATTTTGATAGTTTGATTACAATGTAGTATAAGAAGAACCGAACATGCTCTAGATCTTATTGCCGTTTGTTAAGTCTTAATGCTGACTAGTTCGGATAACGAAAGAATTACAATTTGATGTTTTAGTAACATACATGTATGAGTTGTGCTTCTTAGAAAACATGTAACTGTCTGTCATATTAATTACCTTTAACGCTCTGTATTAAATATGTAAAAGAAAAATGAATGTGAATACAATACCGTGTTAATATCACGAACGTAAATGTATTTCCGGATTCCGGATGGACTTCCGTCTCTAAAATAGAATGTAAATGGGTGTTTAGTTATTTTTGTTTTGTGTTTAATGTCATTGGTGATGTTACTCGTATTTTCTATTTTCTTTTCATTTTCCTATTAATTTTATGTGTTTAATTAATGTTTGAATTATGACGGTATTAAATTATATTTCGACTAAAAATTCCCGTGTTCATCTGTTTGAAAAAAAAAGCAATATCGCTAGAGATTTTACAGTGAAACGATAGCAGACGAAACTTATTTCTCCTGCAATAAGTAACGCAGAATTGTGCAATAAATGGCGGATACCTGACCGCGTTGGAAATCCTGTCAGGTATCCGCCATTTATTGCACAATTCTGCGTTACTTATTGCACGAATCATGCGTTATTTTCACATTCCGGCGTTACTGGATATACCCGGTGTACTAGATAGCCATATTTAGTACTTGTTCGGTGTTAAAAGTACTCGTCTCATATATCATAATTAACATAGATAAACTGGCACGTGATTTTGAAATATGTTATGAAATTATACTCTACACATATGTAACATTTTCAGTAATCTGGCGATGAGAATTTGTAAGAACAGTAAATAAAAATCTATACATTTTATGTATAGTAAATATTATCAAGAACTTTAGTATCGTTCAGATAAAACCGATTTCATTTAGATAAAACAATATCGATTAGATAAAACAGATACCGATTACTAATATAGATTTAATTGCAGGGTTGAAAACTTGTTGTGAACCATTAATCACTCTCTGAGATAACAACCGCATCTTTCATGACATGCCAAGTATTTGTTAAGAAACGTAATAATAATAATGATAAAAATTAACCCAAACATTTCCCTTGGATTTAAACCAGTTATTTAAAATACTTTGTTATATTCAACTAAGAATATTTTTTCTTACTTGTGGTGACTAACACTCTAATTTTACCTTGAAATAATCTAATGCATAATTTTCGACATACCTGAGTAAGTCACCATACCATACCTTATAAGGCATCTGAGTCAATCAGTCGGATCGAGGTGTCACATATGTAAAACTACGGATTACCAGTATACGCTATTTATTTTGTAACATATTCCAATAAAGATTTTGTCATATTGATATTTTGCATTGAGCGAACATTTTTAATACTTAATATATAGACTCGACATTGGTTCTATCACAAGACATTGATGAAATTAAAACAAGATAATAAAATTATTTGCACACTGAAAAATCAGGAAATTAATGATGAAATGGTATATAGTGAAATAAAATGGTGCAACCTTATCCAGGAAGTATTCTTAACAAAGTATATCAAAAAGATTTTACATACACCTGACCGAGCCCTATTCAAATTATACTGTTTAATAAAATACACTTCATGTCATGATAAAAGATGAATCGTAACATATTATATATCAGATTATTTATAGCTTTCGTCTTTTTACCGAGAGAACAACTTTAATAATTGCAAAGATATCCATGCTAAGAGCTATATATTATATAATACCTTAATGATTTTTCTCACTTTTAACCATTCAAATTTGTTAGGCTTACTACTTGATGCAGATCAATTTAACTCATTTGAATCTACAAAAATCCCTCTTTAAGTTAAGTTCTTATGGTTTCATATATGATGACTATAGCAGTAAGCAATATAACTCCCGATAACTAGTATGTAGATGGTACTCGTAAGATACCATACATATACGCGTGTGCTAAATTTTTATCTGTTATGTAATAGTTACCGTACGAGGAATAGGTCTGCATAGTATTTATAGACCCGGGTGGCGATTTGAAGACCGAGAGAGCGTAGCGATCGAGGCTTTTAAAAGGCCACCGGGTCTGTAAATATTCCGAGTGCTGTAACTATCTTACCTACATGCTCTTTGGTTTTTCTATCCATACATCAGTTTTTAACTCAGTATTTATTAATATTACTCACAAGAAACATATTATTTATGTACTTTATTATGTTTAAGAAAGCGTTCCAAAGCCATGCAAAATACCATCCGCTACGCTCTTGTAATTCATTCATTCACAAATCAGGTGTTATTTGAATATTTCTCGTGTTTTTCGTGGGGTTTTATTATGTAAATGACCAGTTTAATAGGGGTACCCAGTTACGTCATCCAACACTTAAAATCATTATCAATAAGTCGGGAACTTGTTATTCTGTAGCTTACCGAAAGTCTTTATCGACAATCACCTGATGGTCATTTTTGTACAGATTCAGTGTAGCTTAATTAGCATTACACTTTTGTTCTTTTCAACAAAAGGGCCATGGCTGCTTTTTCATTGTTTACCAAAGTGAAACTGAAACAACTCTCATCGAATGCCCAAAAGAGCATACAAGTAATATGAAATAATATATACAAAGCTATATCCTTTATGTGTATAGGTTCTTTCAAATTACCTTCATGAATACCAAAATGTCTAGATATCAGGCAATGTGAAGAAAAATAAGAAAATCTACAGGCTGTAAATAACATTTAAATCAAGCGTGTATGATGGCAAACATACAACATTCACTACATAAGCTGGTGAGGTAAAACGTAAATAAAATCAACTTTAAAATATATCTTAAACCACATCATATTTACATACAAATTTAAATATTCTTTTGCTGATGTTCGAATTTGCATGTAACATGCATGAGGAAATTTGTAAACAACAAACTACGGTATACTTATATCACTATTATTATTTCTAGTACTTTGGCAGGGCTCTTACAATATCCTCTTACAAAAAACAATTGCACAGTCTTTTACTACAGTATTACAACTTAAAAATTGCTCGAATGAAGAATGTTTCACAAGCAATTGTCTCTTCCGGTATGCTATAAGAGCAACACCTTCTATGTAAAAATGTTGTTGAAAATGGAATTCATTTTATTATTATTATTATTATTATTATTATTATTATTATTATTATTATTATTATTATTATTATTGTCCGTTGACGTGATATCGTAATCAAAGCTTACAGTTTGAATAACATGTTTAATGAAAAATCATACAAGATAAATTTTTAAAAAAAAATTTGAACAATGTTTAAAACCAGCGCTAAAAAGGGTCTCACTATACTTAAAGCCAGAGCCGAGTTTTTATACAGATAAATATTTGCACAAGTCTAAAAATAAAGATGAAATGGGGCATTTTGATGCAGTTTTGGGCGTTTTCATGAATGCACACAGTCAAGTGATTTTTAACTGAAAATATCTCACATCAAACAGGAGAACCATATTCAGAGTAAGTGTTATCCCCATCCCCCAAATTACTGCAGTTATGATATACTCGAGTATCTAGTTTATAGCTATTCAATTATTCATTTTATCGATATAACAATAAATCTTACAACATTCATATTATTGAGGGTTCGGTTAAGTACTATCAGATTCAGTGTGACCCCCCCCCCCCACACACACCCCATTACCCATCACCACTTTATTGGCGACGCCGGTGAGCGTCGGCGTCTCTTATGGAATGTTGTTTTTTTTGGCCCATGGAAGGAGCTGTTATTATTAGCAGTTAATGTAATGTTGTGTTAATTAGTTTTATTTTGATTCGTAAAAATCAAGTAAACAAATATGTTGTTATATTTGCGTTTAATAACTTTATGTAAAAAAAAGCATGTGTATCGGGATATTATTTTCATGATCCTCGCCTGTCTTTGTTTTCCTCGTGAATCACGTGGTAGAAGTACTTTATATTGCGAGATGAATATGAATAATTACCGTTGAGGTGCACCGAAATGTATTCAACTTTGTCAAAGTGATGAAATCCCTTCTTTTCTGTTTTGAACAAAGTTGTGGTAGTTGTAAAGTAAGTACTCATTCTTCAAGCGTACCAATTTGGTCAATATCTTTTTACATTTTACGACGACAATATCTGACTTTGCATCGCTCTCTTGAACCTTAGTCTTATAGCAAACGGCGATATGATGGCCTCAATGGAACACCATCATTTTTATTTCCCGATGTCATAGTGAGCACAGTACAAACTTGTGTAAATTTTGTTTTACACTTTTAGATGGGGAAAATGGCTTATTTTATTAGAGGATTACCTATTCTCCTGATTCTGATAAATCAATATCAATCAGCAGATGTTCCAAGCGTTGCTACGAAACTTGGATCGATAACTGGAGAAACGAAAAGTGTAACATTTCAAGGAAATAAGTATCAAGTTGATAGATACCTCGGAATTCCATACGCTAAACCACCGACTGGAGATTTAAGATTTCAACCTCCCCAGCCATTCGGTCCATTTTCAGAGACATATAATGCTGCTGATTTTGGAGCCTCGTGTCCACAACCAAGGTTTCCTTTTTTTCCGGTGGAGAGAAAGACAGACGAAGATTGTTTATTCCTGAATATCTATGTTCCACGCCAGAAACCCGATGAACCTTCTGGTCACGCGGTAATGTTCTTTATACATGGCGGTGAATTTTTAATAGGTACTAGTTTTCCTTTTGATGGGGCAGTATTGTCGTGTGAGGGAAATGTTATTGTAGTGACGATAAATTATAGACTAGGGCTTCTCGGATTTCTCGACATAGACAATGAAAAGGCGTCAGGGAATTTCGGATTACTTGATCAACACTTGGCGCTTCAATGGGTTAATGAAAATATCGGTGCGTTTGGAGGTGACAAAGACAGGGTAACAATATTTGGGCAGGCAGCTGGTTCAATGAGTGTTGCCATGCATATGTTGTATCCGTCCAATAAAGGACTGTTTAGAAATGGTATAACACAGAGTGGCGCTTTAGGCCTTCCGGGTATATACCTCGAAAATAATATTGATATGGCTAAATTTTTTGCGAAAAATATGAACTGTAGTATTGAAACAGTTGATGAAGTGTTTAATTGTCTCAAAGAAGCATCACATGAAAATATAATCCAGGTTATTCTAGATACGAGGCAATCTAGGGGCAAATCATCTGCTGCCAGTGTCGGTTTCAGTCCAACCATTGATGGCAAATTCATCAGAAAGAACCCTGCTAATATGATTAAGAAAGCGGACACAGACAGCTGTGAGGAAATTGACTTCTTCCGATCAATTAAACTGATAAACGGCGTTAATGGTAATGAAGGGGCATCGTTTTTAATATTCCTTGGAAATTCTAAAACGTTTGGAGACTTGGAAATAACTCGAGAACAAATGAACACACAACTGGTTCCTGGCACCATGGCAATGATGTATGGCAACACACCTATACTGGATTTTCTGCAACAACTTATTATTTCGGAATATACGGATTGGGAAAATCCAGATGATCCCAAACGACTCCGTGAACAAGTAGTTCAACTTTTTGGAGACATATGTTTCAACGTTCCGGGTATTGA